TATGACCGGATCGTAGTGTAAAAGTGGGTAGACTTAAATGCTGGCTGCTGAATTTGATGTACTTACTAGTCTCCCTGCAACTGCAAGTGATAAGCCTTATCTAAGAAATTCTGATTTATGTCTAACTTTCAAAAATATTTCCCAAGAAAACATTGTGGTTTCTAAATGAAGATTTTTCCGGTCCTAGAAAAATTGGAGCAACATTAATTTATACTGCTTGTGTTGGAATTTTAACAGTGGTAAATATTTAATCTTCGGGGAAAAGTGTTTTTGGAGTTTTAATGAGAGAAGGACTGATTTAGACAGCACAGGGGAAGCTGATTCTGTGCTTTATTTACTTATAAACATTGTGGGAAAAAACTCAGGATTTATTTCTCTTGCCAATATGCATTTAATGTACGGTGAAGATATGCCAGTGATGCCATGCTTACAGTGTGTAGCTCCCCCACCACCACCACCACACTACCTCGGATATTTATTTCCCTATCATCTTGTATGTATTTTTCTTTATAATTAATTTTTCTGTTTATATGTAGCCTTAAATTTGTTGCCTCAATGGGTCAGATGATTAAGTGTTAGAACTGGCATTCATTGCTCTAGCTGTGTGTTCAAAACCCAGCAATGTTGTTGAACATATTTTTGAAAGAATTATTCATATACTGGTGTTATTGTAATTTGTCTAATTGATTTCTAGTTTCTGCAAGGGCTTAATTTGGGTATTATTAAGCTCTTTCAAGAAGGAGAGAAGTGTACTAAATATGCTTTACATAAATATTGCCATCTAATTACAATGTAGTTTAAATTAACAGGGGTATAACTATTTGATATATTTTATTGATTTGATAAAAAAAATAAAAAATTGATGGTGAAAATTATAGTGTAATTTTAAAGTAATGATGATGGGGAAAAAAGTGGGTTTCATTATTATTATTTTATTTCTTTTTTTATTTCCCCTTTTTTTTTGGTCAATAATGCTATTAAACAATAGTTATAGATGAAGATAAAATAATTGAATTATACTGCATATTGACAACCTGAGTTGAATCTCTATCATATGATGTTAAATACATGTAAATAGATATTTCATGCAAAACTTATCTGGTGAAGTGACTTTACTTTTATTTTGATTTTGTTTGTGCTAGCAATGAACTCGAAAAGTTCTGGGAGAATTCATGCTGATAGCACTGAATAACATCTAGATTATTCAGGTTAAAGAAATTTAATAGTTAAACATGTAAAATTAACATTGTAAAGATACTAAAAAAGTAAAAGTAGTTATTTTGGCTTTGATTTAGTTTTGTTTTAGCATTGAGCAAAAACACTTAGCACTAGGAATTTATCTGTTTTGTACTGTTTGGCCAGATAGTAGATTGTTATTATTCAGAGTACAAATTAATATACAACAAAATTAATTAATTTTGTCCCACAGGGATTTCTATATGTTGCTAGGTTTGAAAAAGTGAAGAAAATGCTACATCACATTGATACATGTATATAAAAAAACTTGTGTAAACAAATAAAAGTAATGTATCTATGATATAATGATAAGGTGAAAGAAAAATACAGCCTAACAGGTACTTTCTTAAAGAGAAAAAAATTATGTACAAAAATGAATGTAATGAAAAATATGACTATACATATACATGTAATATGAAATTTGAAAATGAAATAGAACCATTAGAGAAGTTTAATGAAAGTGTCTCAGAAATACAGTGATGATTATAATAAATTTGGTCATGCATGTTTTTAGTCACACAATAAAATTAATGAAATCATCATAATTATTGTTGTTGTAAATATTATTTATACTGATAATTTTTATAATTATCTATTTTCTTGTGGAAAGCAATAAACTCTAGGGCAATATAGAAATACAGAAACTTAATTACGAGGTTATAAGTATCATACATAAAACTGCATTAATTGTAGTGAAATCTTCAATGGCACATCTTTCTCACTTTTAAATTTTTAATTAAAAGTCCATGATCAGTACTTTTATATAGGCAAATTAAGTTTTTTAATGATCCCAAAAGTCCTTGAACTTTAGAACCTGAAATGAACTTGAAGACTGTCAGTCTTTACCTGCTCGACCTCCAAGGTGAATTTATTTCAAAGTGTAAATAGTTTATGAGGATATTTGAAAGGGAGAGAATTTATTTTATATTCAATTAAAAGCCATTCTAAATACAAAATTGGCTTAATACATGTTTAATTGTTTTATTCTAAACATATAACAACTCTGTAGGAATAAGGAAAGCATTTAAATACAAAATAACGTTTCTAATTTCTTTTTAACTTCTGAACAAACTGTCAAAAATTTTTGCTAGGCCACAATGAGTAAGATATTCTTTTGTTGTCTGTGTTTTATAGTGAAATAGAGCATTAAATGATAGGATATAGTGATACTAGGTTGTTAAAATTGTTTTGTTAGGACATTGCCGGTAATTCAATTCTGTACCATACATGCATACATTTTTCTGAAGGTATTTTATGTGTATTTAACTTAAGATGAGGTTTTGGACTAATTGTTGATAATACACCACAGTGTCACTGTTTAAGTTCTGTTGTAAATGACCGAAGTCATGCAAGTATTAATATTTTTTTTCCCTACCCCATTTTACAAAAAAAGTAGACCTCAGGCATCCTTGTTTAGATGCTGTATTGAGAATGAGATATTTGTATTCTTATTATTTGTAACAAATAAAGAAGACAAATTATTTGACAATGTTTTACACAAAGCACCAATTCGGATGTATCACCCACAGTTAGGCAATTTCCACGGTGTCTGTCCGTCCAGATTCTGTACCGTTGAGCTGCATGATTAATTTAAAGCAATCATTTGAAGTAACAAACAATTGACAGTTTCTAATGATAAAGCATTACACCAGGTATTTAATAATTCAACCAAATAAAAGCTATATGATAGTCAACAAGATATTATTAAATTAAAATGTGCTAGACTGTCACCCCATCTTCTCATTTTGTTTGAATCAAGTCTTGGTGTAGCAGATCTTTTGAGTGAATTTCAAATGACCGCCCGAGCGGCCTTACAGTTAATTGTCTGTCCTTGTACAAAATGTGTCTTAAGGTCACTACATCGGTCATCAACACCGTGCGAGGTTTTAATTTTGTCTCAAAATATTTACTTGTAATAGGTAACAGCAGAGTTTATTTGCCTTGGTCTTGCTATACAGACTTATCATGCACTATTGGCAATCGATAATATTGAAATTTCAAGTCATTGTATACATAATGCCGGGTATAATACTTCTGTAATCTTAATCAGTTTTTTAAGCCCCCTGGATCGCCAGAAGGCGTGGTAGGGTGTTTGACATTACAGACAGTTTAGCTTACATTTGAAATGCTTATTAAGAGTGAATCAGTGATTACATAGCAACAGGCTTAATAATGTTGTCTTGTTAAACAGGGGGCCCGCTCCAGTCATTAAAGTGATTTAAGAAAAGACAAAAATATTACGATGTGGGGGGAAAAAGTTTGAATGAGACTCATTCAGAGCGTTCTTTGGGACATTTATTGTGTCTTTATTAAAACATCATGTACAAGACATTATTAAGATAAGCTTAGATGTCTTACAAAACAATTCACAATTTTTTTATTTTTTTTTAATTGTTGATAATGGTATATTAGTACTTAACCTTGATTTTAATTAAGGCTTCATGTTACAATAGAAGTAAGACAAAATTTAAATGAGTTTAATAAATCTGGTCAATTAATGGTGCCTGATCTACTGCACATTTAATGCTGTTTTATATAACTTGCTGTATCTTTAGACAGACATGAAATCAAGAGCCTGTCAGTAAGTTACATAACACTCTGCCCTTAAGATATGCTGTAGTAATGTCTCAGAGTTTAGACTTAATTAAACAAAGCTATTTCCATGTTTCAATATCATAAAAAAATTAAGCGAGATTTTAGAATATATCAATGGTAAAGTTTTCTACATCGGTCATGAAATAATCTGTTTCTGTCCCAATCACCTTAGGAAAAACTTATTTGTTAGTAATGAATGTTTAACTCGCCTGATTGTCATAACTGAAGTAACTTACGGAATATTAACTTCAGTATAGCTTAAAGAAAAAAATATATTGAAGCACTGGCGATTATTTTACACTCGGTATTTCTGTGGTTTGTTCAAATATGTTCCGACTTAAATTGTTATTTTAAACATGTTTGTAGAGCATAGTTTAAGCAAATAATGACAGTGACATCTGAGATAGCGGGGTGTTTGTCGATTTCCTCAATTTTACAATACTTCATGCCTCCCGCAAAGGCTTTCAAAACCAAATGTTTTGTTATTATATAACACCGGGGTTAATACGCTTTCATGAAATAAGATATGCAAAATCATTTCATTTATGTAGATTCAATTTCATTTTGTTTACACAATGATTCTGCAGAACACATAATCATTCACATATATTTAAAAAATTGTGTGCGTTAACATACTGAATGTTAAATTTAAGTAATTTTTTTAGTGTATAATTTTAAGATATAAAAATTCGGCTAATGGAACCTAATTGAATATGCATAGTATTTAAGATAATTAAGTAGTCAAGCTTGTTATTCAAAGCTAATACAAAGTATAGCATTATACTCTGTAGATTTAAAAAAGAAATTTAACATTTTTTTTAAATATAATAGATAAAGAATGATTTTGAACATGGTTGTGACAATTTTTAAATAAATCTTAAAATGTAGATTGATTTTTGTAGAGAGTTGGGTTTTAAGGTTTATTATAAAAAAAAGTCTAAAAAATAAGAGACCATAACTTTTATGTTTGTTTTGAAAGGAAGGCTTGATCACTTTGATGTAACAATTATACAATATTGTTAACAGTTGATTGTTAATAGTTTTCAAATTATATAATTTACTGACTAAACAGTACAAACCATTGCAAGTATTCATATAACTTGACATTTTTACAGGTATGAAATGTAATTTTGCCAGTTAATAAACGGTTATTGTTTTATATATTTCAGCCTCTACAGACTGAGCCTGTTGATTTATCAGTGAAGAAAACTAGTCCAGCTCATTGGTACGAAGATGTACACATGGGCGAACCGGAGAACCAGTCTGCAGCTGACCTCAGACTCGGCTTCCGAGGGTTGTCGTATCTCAAAAAAGGTACGAGTCTTTGAGCACTAGCAGTGATAATTGTAGGCAAATGCCTGAATGTTATATAACCTTGTCAGCCAGCCTTTCTTTCTGTTCTCATCGTCTATACCCTACTGCTTAACTGGAGTATTTCATTTTTTTTAAGCAGGGATTTATCAGCATACAGAACTAAATGTGCCCAGGGGGCATGGACGGTACCTTGGGCTTTCCTATACCGTCCATGAACAGGCTCAAACTGCATGAGCCTACAACATTTTCAAATTCAATGTTTTGAATGTTCTTTAATGATTCTGTTTTTTCTCTATTGTAAATATAATCATGTCATGAAAGACTTAGATTCATATGATACATTGTACAATACTACTTCAGTTTCCCTATTGTATTGTTTTAATAGAGAAAAAAATGGCGGCCTTGAGACGACTTTAATTGTTATCAATAGAAGTGTGTTTAACTTTAAGTAGGGGGATTACATTGTTATGGCTTGAGTTTTCTGCGGACCAGGAAGAAAGTGATAATATATGTCAAAACAAGACCACCAGCACTGACAAGTTTATACGTTATCTGTATTCAATGTCCTGACCTGGCCTCTCCTTCAAAGTTATAATCTTGTCTTTAGATTATAAATGACATAATGTTGCATAACGAAACATGCTGTTCTGATTGATAGTTTCATACCTGTTTGAATACAAATGAGCCATGTCACGACAAAACCAACATAGTGGGTTTGCGACCAGCATGGATCCAGACCAGCCTGCGCATCCGCGCAGTCTGATCAGGATCCATGCTGTTGGCTTACCAACCCTATTACAAGTAGAGAAACTGATAGCGAACAGCATGGATCCTGATCAGACTGCGCGGATGCGCAGGCTGGTCTGGATCCATGCTGGTCGCAAACGCACTATGTTGGTTTTGTCATGACGCGGCTTAAATATTCATTCCTTGTTCGTAAGATAAAAGTGTGACTTAAAAAGATAAAGGAGCTAAACATAGTAAGTCACTGATAATTTGCATGTCATACAGTATAGATATGACCGCGCATGATGTTTTCTTTCCATGAATTATAAATTTTGTACTCAATGAATATATTGTAAATTACTCTCTAACACATACTAGATACTTATATTGTGTCCTTACTGTGAATAAAACATTTGAGCCGTGTCACGACAAAACCAACATAATGGGTTTGCGACCAGCATGGATCCAGACCAGCCTGCGCATCCGGGCAGTCTGATCAGGATCCATGCTGTTCGCTATCAGTTTCTCTACTTGTAATAGAGTTGGTAAGCGAACAGCATGGATCCTGATCAGACTGCGCAGATGCGCAGGCTGGTCTGGATCCATGCTGGTCGCACACCCATTATGTTGGTTTTGTCGTGACGCGGCTCATTTAAGTCCACTTAGTGTGCATGTAGTTATATTTATTACTTTCTATTTTTAAGTTCATTTTTAGCTCGACTTTTCTATGAAAAGGGGAGCTATCCTACTCGCCCCGGCGTCGGCGTCGGCGTTGGCGTCACACCTTGGTTAAGTTTTTCGTACCACCCCACTTTATTTCAGAAGTATTACAAGTATGGCTTTGAAACTTACCATACTTGTTCACCATCATAACCTCCATCTACAGACAAGAGTACATAACTCTGTCAAGGTTTTTGACAGAATTATGGCCCTTTTTTGACTTAGAAAGTGTATTGAGCTTGGTTAAGTTTTTTGTACCACCTCACTTTATTTCAAAACCATTGGAGGTATTGCTTTGAAACTGACCATACTTGTTTACCATCACGACCTTCATCAACAGACAAGAGGACATAACTCTGTCAAGGTTTTTGACAGAATTATGCCCCTTTTTGACTTAGAAAATACATTGAATATGGGTAAAATCCACTTATTGCCTTAACCCTTTGAGATATTGCTTTGAAACTTTTAATGCTATTTCACATCATTACCCCCATCTGTACGCAAGAGAAGGTAACTCTGTCAAGGATTTGTTTTAAAAATTAAGGCCTTTTATCGACTTAGAATCTTGGTTAAGTTTTTAGTACCAGTCCACTTTTTGACTGAACTGTTTGAGATATTAATTTGAAAGTTGGAATACTTGTTTACAATCATGATTCCCAAACATGTCCAGGAGAAGGTAATTCTGTCAAAGATTTTATTTGAATTATGGCCCAATGTTTGTGACCAACTGACAACATCTAAAAAAGCTTGATAAAATTTATCTATTACTTGTATTATAAGGTAACTATAATACTTTCACATACAAAGTCAAATCTATATATTATGCTGATTGTACAAAAATATACTGCTTCCTTGGCATAGATTTCTTGAAAAATTATGTTATTATGTCATTTACCAAGGTGTTCTGAGTGACGTAAAAATACCTTATTCTCTCAAAGTGGGTTTAATACTATTAAATTTATTTAAGGCTCAACTCAGTTTTTTTTTCTTTCTTACCAGCCCTCTTTTGACTTAAACATTTCAAACTTTGCTGCAGTGTTCAAGGGTATCACACAATTCAGTAAAATAATTCTTCACTAAATATCTTAATGCTCATGGCCATTGTTCACTTTAAAAATACAGAGATTCTTGTATTGCCTTTTACTGCAAAAACTTTTTTTATTGGCAAGCAATAAAAAAGTCGAGCGCGCTGTCTTACGGACAGCTCTTGTTATAACATCCTTTGCACTATAATTTCCCAAAACAAACTCAGAGCTGTCATGAAAATGCACAGGATAACGAAAAGAATGTTTTCATGCCATATGACATCAGATGTGATGTCATTATGACATCGGATATATTTTCAATATGGCATCAGATGTGATGTAATTATGACATCAGATATCATTTCAATATGACATCAGATGTGACGTCATTATGACATCAGATATATTTTCAATATGACATCAGATCTGATGTCATTATGACATCATATGTAATTTCTATATGATTTTATATGATTCAATATAACCAAATGTTGGTTTACAGAATTCAACATAACCATGTTCAAATGTTAAATTCTAGAATTTGATAAGAACATGCTTGAAAAGATTGTAGTTTTTAGTTTGACAAAATTTAAACTTGTTTGAATGTTATTTTTTTAGAGCCAGAAGACCACCCCACCGTGACTCTTGAGTCAATGAATAAAATTGGTTCTGCTGCACTTCTATCATTACAGAGAATAAAGGAAGCATCTGAGTAAGTTCTTGTTACTTTAAATGTTGCTCTTCAAGATAGATAAAGATACTTAGATATCTATTACAGTAGTGATGTTAACCCTTAACCTTCTGAATTATTTTAAATGGACTTGTCCCACTTCCATTTTGGGACTGTCCATGATCAATTTTAGGGATATCAATTTGAATATGGTATTTAAAGTTTACCAGCCAACAGTATAGAGCCTGGAAAGACTGCACGGATATGCAGGCTGGCCTGGCTCTATACTGGTGGCAAAGGCTTAACGCTTTAGGTTCCAGCACTTTTAGGGTTAAGATACATATAGATACTAGATATCTGTTTCAGTAGTGATATAAATTTAAAACATTCTCTCCTCAAAACCCCAGAGATTGCTCTGTTTAGACTAGTTCTTAAAGTTTGATACTCACCTGAAACACTTGAGCCGCGTCATGACGAAAGCAACATAGTGCGTTTGCGACCAGCATGGATCCAGACCAGTCTGCGCATCCGCGCACTTTGATCAGGATTCATGCTGTTCGCTTACCAACTCTATTACAAGTAGAGAAACTGATAGCAAACAGCATGGATCCTTACTAGACTGCACAGATGCGCAGGCTGGTCTGGATCCATGCTGGTCGCAAACCCATTATGTTGGTTTTGTCATGACGCGGCTCAATTGTTTTAGTTACAAGAAAGGAGTGTTTTTAACTGTTGAAATAAGAACTAATTTTGAAGCCGTTGACAGCTACTGAAATGTCCGCTTGACAAAACAAAAACAATTAACAGCTTAAAGGTCCTCAACCTACCAGTATGTGATTTGTTATGGACAAGTTTTTAGATAGTACATGTAATTTATCATATTATTTCATAAGGTGTTCACTCATTATTTTGTTTCTTGTTTTTTTTTAGACAGTTTAAAGCATTGGAGAAACATCAGTTTAGCTTACAACAGAACAGTAAGTCAGTTCCATCAGTATCAACTCATCCAGTTACCCCCTCATTCGCAAACCCAGCAGATGTGTTCAATGAGCAAAAAAAGCGACGCGTCCACAGGTGTGATTTTGAAGGATGCACAAAAGTTTACACGAAAAGCTCACATTTAAAAGCTCATAGGCGAACACACACAGGTAATTTAAGAATTTTATTAAAAAAAGAAATCCAGTAAACTCTGCTTATAATGATAATCAGGGGACCGCTGAACTTATATTGTTATATCCAGATATTGTAATATTGGAGAGGCAATGATTTTAAAACAGGAAGTGGAAGGATTTGATTAATGAAGAGATAAACATTGAAAACAAAAGGTCCCTATTCCAATATTTTTTTGTTACTCCAATTAAATGCAACTAAATACAACGTATATATGTAAGTTACAAAAATATTGCACAGATACAGGAATTATATTTGATGTTATTTTAACAAATGATAATTTTTTTCCACTTTGGAAAAAAAAGGTTATATTATGGAAAAAAAAGCAACACTTATTCCACTTTAAAATGTTTGAATAAAAACAAAAAAAAGGTTTAAATAATAACAGCCTTGAATGTTACCCGTGCTTGCTTGCTTTTTTTTTATCTTTTTTGGAAATTGGATTTGAAGGACTAAATGTCCTTGTTACATGACTAGGATGGCCGGTCAATGATTTAGGCACTGTAGGCTTCCTGCATGTACATTGTGAAGAAAGTCTCTATGGTGATGATATTCCCAGTCTGTATGGCTATGACATTTTAACATTTCTCTAAATAGATCTATTTATGGTCAATGTACGGGAGTTTAAATAAACAAGGTACACATGCAAGAGTTGCTTGACATTTCAGTATCATTGTTTATGAGGGATGTTCTAAGTTCAAAGACCTTTTAACAAGCAAAAATAACAAACAAGCAAGAATAACTTTTTCTAAGAAATCGCTAAGAAGTTCAATTACTAGATTTTCCATTATTTTTACAGTTAGGTATAGTATTCTTATGATTTCATAATATGATTTATAAATTCTATTTCAGGGGAGAAGCCTTACATTTGTACATGGGAAGGATGTACATGGAGATTTGCACGGTCGGACGAACTGACTCGGCACTACCGGAAACATACTGGAGATAAACCGTTCAAGTGTAACATTTGTGACCGAGCGTTTTCCCGTAGTGACCATCTAAGTCTACACATGAAAAGACACTGAATTATTTCAGGTGAATTGAGCATAAATATATCAAAATTTAGTCTTAAGAAAAAGAAATGAGCTATGTCACGACAAAACCAACATAGTGTGTTTGCGACCAGCAAGGATCCAGACCAGCCTGCGCATCCGCGCAGTCTGATCAGGATCCATGCTGTTCGCTATCAGGTTCTGTACTTGTTATAGGGTTTGTAAGCGAACAGCATGGATCCTGATCAGACTGCGCAGATGCGCAGGCTGGTCTGGATCCATGCTGGTCGCAAACGCACTATGTTGGTTTTGTCATGACACGGTTCAAATATTGATAATAGAATATGGACAGTCAGACTTTTCTAGAAAATTTTCTTCAAAATGCTCACAGGTCTGATTTAGCTCTCTGTTAAAAGATCTGTTGGATTTAGGAGTCATGCTTAGTGATTACTAAGTGGTGTTGGTGTCATGTTAAACCCAACCAAAAAATAAAAAAAAAATTTAAAAAAGAGAGATAGAGAGAAAAGAAAAAAAAAGAGAAAAGAAAAAAGACTGCTAATACCTCAAGCATTATAATTTGGAAAATGACTAACAAAATTGCCCAGTCTGGAACTCTTGTTAAAAAATTTTAAAGTCTGATACTTTTATTTTAAACATACTTATGTTTTAATGTTTATTGAAGAAGATGTTAAAGGCAAGAACGATTTCAGTTAAAACACACTAGATAAGTTGTATTGAATGATAAATATTTCACAAAGAATTTAAGATAAATTTAATATTTTTACTGCTTGCTAAGTCTATGAAAATGAAAAAAAAAATTGAACTTTAAAGGGACTCCACTGAGGTTTTTTGACATGATGGGACTGAAAATATTATTCGAGATAAATGGACAATTTGAAGAAGGTTTAGACCACTAATCTTTGTGCAAAATTTCAGATCATTGGCACACTTCATTTTCCAGAATAATTATTCAATTGCAAAAAAAATTTAAAAATTGAAAGACGTTTAAACACTTTTCACTCAAAACGGGCTAAGAAAAGCATAAAAATATGATTTTCAATTTATTTCATAGTATATTTCTTAACTATCTTTGCATATATTTCTGTTTAAATTGCCCCAGCTCATGTATGTAAGAAATTCAAATGTTATATTTTTAGGCTTTTAAACCACAGTGGAGTCCCTTTAATGTTACAATGGTGTTGCAATTATGTATACATCTTTTATATGTTGTTGTCATTTTTTTTCCAGCAATAACAGTTGATGTTGTAGTAAAAATGTGAAGTGACTTGTGTCTTATTTGACAACTGTTGGACGTTTCCGGCAGAACATATGTTCGGTAGATAGACGGCCCAAAGTCTGTAAATGGTCAAAGACCATCCGTATTTGTATATTATGGTTTTAACAGAGAGAGAGAGTGGGTTCCTACATCTTTGTTGGACCCAGAAACTTTGATACGAGCTGGCGATTTTGCTGGTTATATTCTGTCTTCATGGAAGATTGTGCTATGTACAATAGCATAGCATTCGAAGTGAGGTCATTCATTACAACTGATGGCTGAGGTCCATCACATTTGTGCAATAATTTCATCAATAAAAAAACATGCTTGCCCATACAGTTCATTGCTACACTGAACATATATATACCTGGTTGCTAGGTTTACCTGGTTGCTAGGTTACAGTAACTAAGGTTATTCTTTTAGCTGATGGGCTGGTGTTTCATGTTGATAGATATAGTAATGTGTTCTATTGTGATAATTTATATGTATAGTGTTAATTTGAATATGTATAAGCAAATAAAAGCAGTTGTTTTATATACATAAATATATATACATTGTATATCTGTATTTTGTTTTTGGATGAGGATTTTATTTTTTTGAGTATTTTTAACTTCATCATTCAGTATTGAAATAGGAACATAACATGAAATCTTATCAATTTCCTCTGTAATGTAAATAGAAAAAAAAGATACCGTCAAAAATACATGTACATTTAACAATTTAGTTAAAATCTGTGTGACACTATTATTTACAGGTGACGAAGGTAGAAAATTATTTTTTTATTTTAATCAGCCCTGACTAGGAATTGTAGGGGGCCTACCAGCAATTATGCCATGCCTATATTCTTCCCAGCGTGCTCATCATTGCAATGTAGTTACACTCTCTATACTGCTTGTTGCATAATTTTATCATTTTGGATAGTGGAATCCCTATAAATGGACAATTCCAAACTTATGTTGGGTGAAGGCTCAAAGTATGAAACTAAAAAAAATTTATTTTTTTTTAAAGTAATAAAAACATGATTATCAAATTTATCTGAAACATTGTTAACTACTGCAGGGTATTGTCATCCAATTTTAATCTTTGGTTTGGTGATTCAAGTGATGTTGTCTTGGTGCTTTATTATTTTGTTTTCTTTTTTGTTGCATAGAATTTTTGAAGTTAAAAAGTCTTGTTTTTGTTTTGAAATTGTTTGTACGAAGTTTTTTTTTAAGTTATATTTACTTCCCATTTAGTATTTCACAGACCAGGGGCACAATCAGTTGTCAAAAACTTTAAATTAGAATTTTAATTACAATTGATGTCAAGTTGAACCTTTTTCTAAATAAAGTTTGGTTCTAAATCTTTTACCAGAGTTTTACCAGAATTTTATCGCATTGTTGAGGTTCGTTAAGCAGTTTTTTTTTCATATATTTTTTTTTATATGTCTACATCTTGCTAACTTTTTGTAATGGTATTTATTTAAGATGGATGCCTTATAACATACCCCTTAAAACATAAGATTTTTCTTTGTAATCAACTTACACTGATCAGCCATTTTTGCATTTAAGTACAGCAATACTGCAGTACAGAAATCAATCTTCGTGAAACATAAAGAAAAATATCTGTTTCTAAAACTTATGTGATTTTATTTCCTTCAATTTATTTTTGGATTTTTTTTATATTTTGTGTGTAAATACAATACATATTGATGGTAAATATTGATCTTATAATCAGTGATTACTGGTGTATTGATACAATATGAGACTTCCATGACACAATAGTTTAACAAATCTAGCCATTCCTTAGTTGTTGAATGGTACAAATTAAACAAATGTTTTATTGATTAAGGCATTGAATGAAATAACTACACAATTTTTATTAATTATTTATTGATATGTGCTTCCGTTATTTAAATCAAATTTTTAAAAAAAATCTGTTTTGAGTAATAATAATTTGCAATAATTGGCCTCGTTTTTTAATAGGATTTTTATTAGGGCGGTGAGGTGGGGAGGGGGTAAAGGGAGGTAATATATTCCTTACTGTGGTATATTTTATCTATGACAGTTATGCTTCCCTTGTTAATTTTGTATATTTTAAAGTGCTCAGTTTTTGTTACTGTCTTTCTATTGATTATTGAAGAAATACAAATCGAGCAATAATTTAGTAAATATGATTTGCTGAAAGCTTTTATGTGTATTTTAGCTATATATTATATATTTTATGATTGTTTTGTTATATTTTGTTGACACACACATTTATACTGTGCATGACACAATGCTGTTGAATGTGCATGAAACAGTGAAAAAAAATTATAATATTAACATCAGAAAAACATGAAATATACAGTTTTAGAACTCTGTTGCTGACCTCTGCATGTATCTATGGCAATTAAAGCTTATTTCATGCCTTGTAAATATGGATAAATTAATTACGTCACAGGAAGGTCTGCATTAATATACTGATTTCAATCAGACAAATGAACAACTCTTTATTTCTAGTAAAAAGCATTTTTTGTGAATTTTTGAAATAGAAAATTTTTCTGTCTGATTAAAAAGTTATGAGAGAATGCATCCAGCATATCTTCTACAAGGACTCTTTTAGTTGTCTGCAGTTGAGGTATTATATGACAAATGTGGGATCATTATATGACAAATGTGGGATCATTATATGACAAATGTGGGATCATTATATGACAAGTGAAGGATTATATGACAATTGAGGTTTTATATGACAAATGTTTACTATCATGAGTATGACCAGATTAAGGAAAGAGATGATGAAATGTCCTTGATACAAATGTTTACCACTGTGAGACGTAGTGTTGTGCTATTGAACCAGCTCTCTAGGTCAAAGGTCAAGGTCATGGGTAAAGGTCAGAGAAAAATGCTTGTTAAGAGCATTCATTGAGGGATTTTAATATAACTTGACACACTGCAAGTCATAAAGTCAAGCCTGAAGTTCAGGATACATTGGCCAAGATAACATGCAGAGGTCAGATAATAGAAAACAACTGAAGAGTGTGTATTGACCATAAAAGTGGGTGATTATGAATTGAGGAAGTTCAGATGTTTATATTTTTTGCCATCATGAGACTGGGCATTTGTGATGGGGGGGGGGGGGTAGTGTTTTTGTAACATTGACACTTTTTCTAAATTGTATCAGTGTAACATTAGCAACAGTTGGTACAGAATGGTCATTATCTCTTTATATTTTCTTTTGCGTATGATTTACTTTTGAGCCATGTCACGACAAAACCAACATAGTGCGTTTGCGACCAGCATGGATCCAGACCAGCCTGCACATCCGCCCAGTCTGATCAGGATCCATGCCGTTCGCTATCAGTTTCTCTACTTGTTATAGGGTTTGTAAGCGAACAGCATGGATCCTGATCAGACTGCGCGGATGCGCAGGCTGGTCTGGATCCATGCTGGTCGCAAACCAATAATGTTGGTTTTGTCGGTGACGCGGCTCATTTTGTGATTCAGTTCAATAGAGGAGTTTTCCAATATAGCTTCTTAACTCGTAAAACTTGTTATTTCATGTTTTTGTGAGGCTAATTAGTATTTAAGTTTTTTTGATGTTATTGGAAGATTTTTAAAAAGATATATATTTGGATGTTGTAAGAATATTGATCTTTTGTGGTTTACTGTGAGTACAGAAATGGTCGTATTGTTTGGTGACAAAAAGACATTAACAGTAACTTGACTAAAACATTATATTTAATGGAAGCTTCAAATAAAATAAGGTATATGTAATAAAATATATGGTCAGATAAAGGTTTATTCTATATATATCAAAGGTCATGTTTGTTTGTTTGCTTCCAGACCACAAATTATTGTGAATGAAGGTATAAAAATGATACATCTTTTGATGTATTATGTATAAAAGCAATAAAAGAATTTAAATTCAAAATTAAATATTATTGTTTTGGGGTTTGTTAAAGAAACTGTTTTCTTTCTACCCAGATGACAATCATGGACCTTTCCGGTGTTTACAGTTTTATGTAAATTGGCTAACTTGTTATCCAATCGCTATACTGAGATAATACATAGTCACTGGTTGACCTGGTTTGCACAAAAGAACACGTGCTTATGTTTGTGATACTGTTTGTGAGCAGTTGACCTAGCAATGAATGGAAAAGGTGTGGCTAAATGTTCCGCTACGAAAAACCGGAAAGGTCCATTATAGACTGCCTACATTGAGTTTTGATGTTATTATTTATATATAAAAAACTTCCACATTGATAATGAATAATTCTTTATAGAAGATTATTCCTCATTGTTTATTTTTTATCTGACTGACAGTTCAAATTTTGATTCTTCATTGAGCTGTCCTTATTTGAGTATTTTGATGATTTTTATTGAAATAATTTTTCAGAGATATAAAATACATTACACAGAATAAAATTTTCGCTTTGTTTTCTTTTATGCCGACTTTATTTAAGTATCAGGTTGATAGATGAAGGATATCATTTCTATACGCCCGTTTTAAAAAGAAACAAGCCCTATACCTCTGGTGGGCGGGCAGAATGCATCAATGCAATGTCCGGAGCATATCTTCTCGTACATCTATGCAGAGACTTCCTTCAATATTACTTGGTACAAACATCAACCATTGTGAGACCTTGTGTTGCGCGCATGAACTAGGTAAACGTCATACTTAAAGGGAGACACAGGCAAAATTTTCATTTCTTAGTTTTGAAGTTTTTCATTCATTATCCTGTAAATGCCCTCAAAATGAATATTTTAGACAGTCAAAGGAAAAAAAACTTGTCTCCATATAAAGAATAAAATGGTGGTTTCCTAAATTGACCCGCGTGGGTCAGGTTAGAGCGCTAGCATTACACAATAGTTGTCAAAGTGAACTCTGGAAACGTTTAAGAACATGTAACATGAATGACTTAGGCTTGTTTCAATCATACAATATCCACAATATATGTTATTGTAACTATAAGGATTTGTTCAAGTCAACTGACTTGTTTTAAAACTATCTGGTGATTCTATTAGCGTCTAAATTTTGTCCAACCTATATAGATATGTTTAAATTTCAAACACAAAATATATAGAATTGAAACAGAAATTCATGCTGAAACTTTATGAAAAGTCATTTTAGCGTGATTTGAGTAAGTAAGATCATTTTAATATTTTTGTCATTATTTTGCCTGAATATCCCTTTAAAGGAAAGCACTTGCCCGGAGCAACTCATTGAGAGACTGGCCACAAACGTTCATCATTGCAAGGAAGTGTGTTATGCCTAAAATACTGGTACCTGAAGCCGAGGTCAAAGTAACACCTAAAGATCAAAGATCAGATGAAAATGTGTGTGTCTGGACTATTTGTTAATCTTGAAGTCTTAAGGCATTACATAAAAAGTTAACAACCATGAGATTGAGTCTTGCTACCATTTGATACATGACCTAGGTCACCAAAGAAAATTAATTTATAAATCGTGTCCTGCTCTGCTCTGGAATCACTTGGTTAACACAGACTTACTTAGTACGAGCACCATATGACCTGTACTGTGTTGGTGCGATGTAAAACCAAAGAAACAAAACAAAGGTCAATTGTCCTAAACATTCGTATAACTCAACAAAAATTGTTATCATTTTTTTGCTTAATTTATAATACAAAATAGTTTCTTTGAACACGAATGGATATTCTATGTAGTTTTTCCAGCTCTTAAATTCCTCAGAAAATACTATACACCGGTACAATGCCCTCTGTAATGCAAAACGACGTCCAGAAAGTTAGATTACTTCAGCGAATAGAAAAATACATTTCAGACGGAATAGGGAGGCTGTCTTTCTAATACTACCTTTACAACAACAAGGAACTTTTTCACTTCGTCTCGTAAGCCACATTGATGGGTAGAAGTATTGTCATATATTAGATACAATTAAGGATAACCTGTTCTACGGCGACGATTTTTATAAAATGTTTTATCAAGTCTTTAGACATTATCCCAAACAAAAGATTCAAGAGAACCGTTATTTCATTTGAATACCACATAGCCATGAGAATTTGAGAACATAGCATATATCATTCTCTGCACTCCTTTTAGCATAGTAGATCTTGGCTGGTTGTTACAAAGCCATTGTATATCAGTTATACATCTCTGTTGTTTAAAGAAGTACATTGTACATGTATGTCCAATTTTTGTCGCACGTTATCAAGTTCATCAAAATCATAAAGTTTCCTGGAATCAAATTTTAAATATTGTTCAATGTTTCTTTTGCACACTGCACTGTTGTTTTTTCTGACCCTCATTGAGCAGATACAGCGCCTTTCTTGTACAAATCTTCGTCATGAGTTCCAAATGTTTTTTTTTGTTTTCTTTCCCCTGAATATTGTGTACTGTCCCCGTTGATCAAGCTTGCCCAAGCACAAAATATCTAGCGTCATCCATTACCAGAGAGACTTTACAGCAGCACGTTTCTAAGAGGTTTGCCAGAAAAGTTCCCACATGTGGCACACGGGAACCCCCATATGTATCTCAAAAATGAGCATCGGTAAAAATTATATGTGAATTTCCGCTGCACCAGATGTGAAGCATAACACCAGATGTGACTGTAAAAATTGGTCAATCGCAGGGTAAGTTTTCATCTTTTTAAACATTTATTTAAAATTCAATCCTTTTTTTAAGAAAATCGAAATGTGATTCTACCCTCCTGACTCTCCTCTATATTACTCATTTTTGTTTTGGATTTCTATGCAGTATTCATCGAGATATTCTTTCCGTCGTGGGTTCTGGTGTGTCCAAAACATGGAATGTGAATGAAGAAAATGTCACTAAACGGACTCAAAAAAAGGAAAAGTTCCCGTGTGCCACATGTAAACAGTATAATAATTTCGATAAACTACTACAAATGTTTAATTAACATTTACGTTGCCGGCGGTAACTAAATTACTATTGACGAAACACAAAAGTAGACCTCCATATATGTATATTACAGCTTATCATATACATGTACGTATTAATTGTAACATATGTTGAAATATGATTTTTTTTCTAAACAGCTTATATTAAGTTTCTTTTACATATACAAAATGTACATGTGTGATAAGTATATGTGCTGGGATTGACAAATATACATTTTATTTGGATTTTAAGGCGTTTGGGGTTCCACACCCTAAGTGTCTGTGCTTCAGAACGGTTTACCCTGATTAAATCACGAATGATCTTAAAAAGCAAGTATATAACCGAAAATATTTGTAATCTTGGTTTAATTAAGTACAATGTCATAACAGCAGTATACGCTTATAATTCATTGTTTTTATTAAGGTTAACAAATTTTGTCCGTATAGCATTTAAGGAATTGAGACAAGTGAAGTTACATATTCCTTACTGTGGTATTTTTTTTATTTATGAAGAAGTAAAATTAGCAATAATTTAGTAAAAACGATTTGCCGTGTATTTTAGATATATATCATATATTCTGATAATGATGTTTTATAATATTTTGTTGACACACACAATATTATACTGTGCATGACATAATGCAGCAAGATATGCTTGAAATAGTGAAAATTATAATATTAACTTCTGAAATAGGAGAACTGTTCTGTTTTAGCAGTCTGTTACTGACCTTAGTTCGTATCCATGGTGATGTAAAACATATTTACGTTATGTTAAATTCTCCGTAACATGTACATGTATATACAATAGGGATGAACTTGCACAATAATAAGATTTTAACTTGAAGTAACAAAGCTATGCACATTGCAATTTAACTTTATTGTACCGCCCACTTTTCCTATATCCTTCCCATTTGTGGTGTTGCTTTGAAAACGTGTTCAACAGACCTGTCTTTTCCACCATTCAAGTGTTGGTTCTTTAAGATCTCTTTTTATCATCGAGTAAAACTTGTAAGAACTGTTTTATTCCACTTTAAAGCACCTACAGCAGTAGAGTTCTTACGTCCCTTGTTAAGTTGATACATTATCATTTTGTTAATTTTATTTCGGAATTTGATATTTTAGCTGATCAAATTAACTATAGCCATCGATTTTATTTACTTCTAGTTTTATATTATTATTAATAACAGATATTTCATCTGACAAATGTGCTCATCAACTTTATTGTCCTGAATTTTAAAAAGTGCATGCATGCAATACATGCACATATACATGTAAAATATGCTACTTCACACAAAATTCCATATGAACTGCTCAGAGGATCTTTTATCTAAATAAAACTATTGACAGAAACATCATCAAGTAAAATAAAACTTTTCAATTGTTTTTATGAGATATTACTTCATTTTACTTATTATGCAAGAGTTAGAGCTTCACAAAATATTTTCAGTATCAAGTTATAAGACATGAAAACTGTTTTTTGTTGTTTTTTTTTTCTCAATAAATCCTATAAACAATCTATAGAAGCTACTTAATTAATGATAGAAATTGGTTCATTCCAATAAAACAAATACTCGGACTAAATTTGCCTAAAATATACAAATAAAGGAAAACAACCGGCATTGTTGTAAACATACATGTATATTAAGCCCAAGTGATCGAAGTTGACTTTTCGAATGAAATTTACTTTCACTTTAGATTATAGAAAAAAAGTGTAACCATATTTTCATATAAGCACATATGTTAAACAGTTCACAACCAATAATATGTGTTTTGATGTTCATTCTCTTTTGTATTATGGGCAAAAATAAAAACACGTCATCAGTTGTCAAAATATGAAACCACAGAAAAAGTAACTAATGATCAAGCATCTGAATATGACATTTCTATCGTTATCCCCTTCTCTGTCGTCATATTAAGTAAACCCCAGAAAAAATTGAGCCAATAAATGAGCATGTTCTGGATTGCGACCTGCACTCCAGTTAACACACTACGACTAACTCCGGAGGGTGGCCAGAGCCGTTTTATGTTACTGCCACGGAACATGATGATTTGCAAGTATTGTCTTTCCTCCAACGAACGAAGAACAGGTTAAGGAAGATCTCCCTGATGAGACTTTTAGAGTGGACCGGAATGGACGCTGAAATCTTGGACATTCGGAATTTCCTGCGCCCAGCTAAAATAAACCAAGCACACACATAACGCGCTGTGCATGCATGTGTATACGATTTAACATTTTCAACAGAAAGGTTTCCCAACTTTGATAACTGGGAAGGCTATAAATTGTGTATGGGCTTGTCTCAACCGCCCCTGCACTTAATTGGTACGATTAGATTTAAAATTGAGTCTTAATTTGTAGAAATATTCCTTTCACGGATTAAAATATTGTAACATCATCAGGACTATTATTTTCTCATTTACGGGTTTACAAAACTGCCGAACCTAAAATTTAAAAAAAATAGAGAGAGAAAAAAAGCAAAATCATTCTTTTTAATTTTTCATTTCTGATCGCTCTGAAAAGGGACAAAAACATTACAAAGTCAAAATTGGAGTATGCATACACAGTACAGATTTTGCCAGTTCAGAGTTGGTTTTCGTTTGTTTTTGCATTTCCAGTGAGAAAATGCCATGTTTCAACTTTTCTGTCTTGACGGAGGTCGGACCTTGGTGATTTCTTAATTTCGGACTTTAGTAAGGCCACCAAAAATGTTCATAATCAGTTTTTATAGACAAATATAAAATGGATTGATATCATGCGAAAATCCAACTCTATAAATAAGTTTTGACACTCCGAAAATAAGTTTTGACACTGAAAATTGGCCTGCCCTTGATATCGTGCATTGATGTTGCATTCATTGTCAATTCCTATACTGTTTAACAAACATAAATTTGTCGGTGACCTTTTTTGCATTAAATATAATGAATTTTTTAGGAAACCTTACATGAAACATATTTAGGTAAAATCGGTGCGACCAGCACTTTTTGTAAAACTATGCTGAAATAAAAGTATATTATTTATTTGCAATTTAAAATTTAAATTTTGACCATAGTATAAATTCTTCAACAAGTTTTATTATTATTTTTTTCCGTAAAATTCAGCCTTTTTTTCGCCATGATTTTGTGGCGAATGATTACGCCTTTCTCCGCGATAGTCCGCATGTGCTCATGTTCTAAATTATCTATAAAATTTATATTACGTCATTTGCTGGTTTTGAAAACAAACACGCCGAGTGTACGAGGGTGTACTGGAAGTTCGATCTCTTTTTATGTAAGCATAAAAATTGCGTCACAATCTGTCGAAAGCTAAATAAAAGCGATTGTTTTATTATGCATGTAAACACGCACACTATTTATCATATAAATTAGTTAGTATCTAACAACACTTGAGTAATATAAATATTTAAAAAAAATACATTGCTAAATATTCTAACACGACACGCATTTTTCCCTATTGAACATTCGCCCTCGTGATATAATTCCCCGCATCCGAACTCCAAACAGTGATGTTATTGAGCAATAAAATCACTGTTTGGGATATAGTATTTCTTAAATAAAACACAATCAAAAACAAATATGTTAGCAACAGTTTTTGCGATGTTGCGCGTCGTCAAACTGTTATTGGTCAAGAGAAGGTTCAACGTCTCCAGTAACGCAGGAATGTGTGGTGGCCGATTTTGAACTTTTTTGTGTGCCGTGTTGTCGCTATTGACAGCATGACAAAGCGCCAAACAGCGCGTTGTTGGACTTTCATCTTGTCGTCCTGTCGCTAACGATGCACGCCAAATAACACGTTGTCGTGCGCTGTGTTGTCGCGATGTCACATTGTCGCTCAGCTCAAATCGAAGGATTGACTTATAAGCTTAGCGACAGGGCGACATCGCGCCGTATGGCGTGCTTCGCTAGAGACAGGACGACAACACGATAGTACGACAGCGCGCCGTTTGGCGTGTTTCGCTAGCGACAAGACTAAAGGGCGATAACGATAAAGGTTGTGTTGTTGCTATCCGTATGAAGCGGATGCATATCATTTTTTAAGTAAAAATCTTTTTTCCCGACCACTCGACAGACCTTTTGAAAAAAAGAAAGATGTTTAACCAATAGAAAAAGCAATGACCCAGACAATTATGTTCTGCACTTGATTCACTTTCAAAAATTTCGTTGCGTCCCGTCTCTAATCAGTATCATAATTATATAAATCTTTCAATTTGTTAAATGTGCTTACAGTTTACCTCTATTTTTTTTATAAATTATTCAAATATGGTTTTGTTAGAATAATGAAATTGTAAACAACTGTTTTCCTGTGTGCGCGCAAATGCGCGCGCGTGTGGGTGTGTGCGGCCATGGGTTGTTGTGTCGAATTTAACGAAAAATAAACTACATGTATAACTATTTGAGATATGGTTTTGTCAGAATAATTAAATTTTCCCCTCTACTTTGTGTGCACGCATTTGCGCGCATGTGGGTATGTGTGGCGCGTAGGTTGTTACGTAGGTTGAATATAACGAAAAATAAACTACATGTATAAGACAAAAGATCAGTTTATAGTTTTTATTCTTTGAAATGATGATGCTGTATTGCTCTACATATAACATGATGCATGAAAGACTTGCTTTACATATACCATAATGCTAACTAAAACACTCACCATGTCTTTAAACCCCATGTGTACTTTTACAACAATAGTTAACCCTTATTATGCACGTTGAAATAATTATTTATTGTTCATTCCAGACTGTCAAATAGTGGTTTTGTCTCCACAATTTGCACTACTAACAATATTAGTAACACCCACATAAGAAGAGAATATTAATAGTTACTTATGACGTGCAGTAAAGACAAAAACCACCCAGAGGTAAAAGGCTGCTGCAACTGAATAGCAACGTTTACGAACAATTTACCTGTAATTTACTTTGAACCACATTAGGAAAACGCAATATTTTACTAATCATAATAAATCATTAAAAATTCAGTTCAGCTAAATATTAAGACATCCCATGTACATTGTAATGACAAGAAATTAACCGACATTAGATGTACGATTGCAATCATTTAAATACACCAAGGGAATAATAATGTAACAGCGTCATGCCTCATTGAATATAAGTGCAATTTGTTGTTGAATAACTATAAATTAATGTTAAATTTATGAAACATTACAAGATTAACATTGTTACAATCATCGACAGTTATTAACGACAGATTTATTCATTTTATAGTCACATTTTAATGATTTTAACAATGGACATGATCTAGAGCAATCAGTTCAACTGGGTTTGAAAAAAAATCAGTCACTGTGAAAAATGCACTTTTGTACGGACAAATTTAGCTTTAAGTATATACGGACAAATTTAGCTTAAGTTTATAGTAGGTAATATGACAAATAAGTCCATGAATTAGTTTATTTTATAGTTTAATCTTTTCTTTTAATTTAGGATAAACAATCGGCATTGTTACAGTCAACAAAGAGATTATATAAAATATTAATTACTTTTCCAAAATTTAAAGGTTCTCCACTGAGGTCCAAAAGTCTAAATAAAAAAACTACACAAAACATTTAATTTGATTTTTTTTACATAAATCAATTTGGGCACTGAAAAGATGTGCAAATGAGAATAAAGAACTATACTCCAGAGTCCAGATTATTCTAAAAATCATATTTTTTTGCTATTTATTGCCAAATTTTACTCGAAAGCATAATTATATAGAGGATATTTGTTTGTTTCAGTGTAAGATCGAAAAATATTTCACCGAGTGAACACCAGATGCAATATTTTCCACGAGTGGCGTAGCCACGAGTGAAAATATAATAGCTGGGGTTCACGAGTGAAATATTATTTGATCTCACATGTAAAACAAACAAATTTTCTGTTTATTTCATGATTTTTTAACGATTTTTACACCATTTTACTGATTTTTGCCGCGTAACGTCATGCTCTTATCTTCATGACGTCATCAAATAATGACGTCACAATGTTGAAGCAAAATATAATTCCATGATTATTTTTAGATTTTAGATGTTTTTCAGCACAACGTTCTTAAATATTTACGAACTACAGTTATCACGTACATTTTTTATTATGATTGACTACATTTCCGCTGAAAAAAACATTCATTAATGATAAATATTTTATTTTTACGCCAAATATAGTTCGGCTACTGTGAAATTATATTTGGTAATCATTACTGTGAAATTATCAGAATATAATTAACCGTTATAATTCAGTAATCTACTGCAAAACATGTAATAAAAATCACTTTTCATTTTAGGGTCATTTTCCACAATGTAATAATTATTCTGGAATAACTAAGTGAACAAATGATCTAGAATTTTGCACAAGAGTTATTGATCCACACCTACATCAAAAAGTACATAAATCTCCGGAAAAAAATTCCAAGTCCGCTTATGTCGAAAAAAGCTCAGTGGAGTCCCTTTAAAGAAAAAACAGATTTTCATAATCTGACTGTGACAAAGGACATACTGGAAACACTATAAAAAGTTAAAATGACAACATACAATAGATCTTATACTGTTTCTTTAATTAAACATAGAACTGGAATGTATACAACTTGGCTAAATGCTTTCCATCTGGCAGTACACATTACAACCTTTAACATATATCACAACCTTAATGCATATATTTACAATAACTTTTTATACATATCCTAAAAAAAATTTGTTTACATATGCTAAAAAACACAAACGTTCACCTAATTATTATTTTGGAAAAAAATCAAAATCTTAAAGTTGTTTTAAAACGATTTTAACAGTTTGAAAACAATTTTACCTTTATTCTTATAATTTGTGTAATTTGTGATCATTTAGCTACATTTAGTATAAAAAAAAGAAATTTCATATCTTAGATGAATATTTTTATAACTTTTTTTCTACCACATTTTTTTTTTGAATGAATTTTCTTATATGTTTAACAGTTTTCATACAACTTGATAGATCATATTATGGCGTTATCATTAATTTTGAATTTTACTCTAGTGCATTTCACTATGCCAGTGTTGCACCAACAGTGGAAGTGTTACACCTGACCTATTATAAAAATTTCCATCAAAGACCCAAATACAAATAATAGATCAAGATATTCTCACAGTTAACATTTATAATTTTCAACCTTGTATTTTAAATTATATCAATCAAACTGTTCAATAATGTCATCTTGTCAATAACATGATTTTATAACACACTCCTTTACAATATACACATTCATTTTGTCTGTTTGTACTTCTGAAAATCATAAAGACAATATGAAATAGCAGGTATATATGCCTACAGTAACTGCCATTGCCGTTTCCTAAAACAAAACATTCATACAATGATCATACAAACAACAAAGACAGTTTTCATAAACACAACAACAATAAACAGAAACAACAGCATGCATTAGGACAACTTCATATTAAAATCACACTTATCAACAGCATGTCTCATCAGTTTTTTTTTACATTGCTTTACATTTAAATTCACACGAAAGGTATATCATACTGGTAAGTCTAAATCAGTTGACCGTAAACCTTTAAGTATACAGTGACTTAATTTAATACAAAAGCAACAAGTCAAAAGACTGATTTGTGCCGAGGTTATCTTATAGTACACAAAGTGTCTATAGAATAATTTCTTCTTGGTACACCTATGTTAGAATAATAAACAAGTAATAAACAGGTACTATGCATCTTTATGTTGTTGCTTTTCATATAAATCAAATTTTAAATTTGCCAATATTCAGTACTGTTGCATTCACTGACAGAAAAACTTTGTCAGAAACATATCAATGAAACATTTTGCAAGACATGGATTTTAAGGAGGTCTACCTTTCGTTTTTTATTACAATTCTGAACTTTTCTTGTTTACTGTTTACTGTATATGACAGATAAAATTTAACAACTACCTCTGGAACATAATATTTCCTATATCACAGACTTGGGCAACATAATATCTAAATAAACACATTCAATCTTACATCACAGAAATAATATATATGGCAATGATACAGTTTATTCTGATAAAAATATTTTTAAACAAATGGCTACCATAGAAATACAAGCACAATCTGTATACATGTAGTAAACAACAAATGAAGACTTAACAAAAAAAAACTTAAAAGGAAAAGTAAATAAATAAAATCATTACATATTATCATTATTTTACAATAATTACTTTATAAAATCTATGGTCTATTCAAAAACATGTAGGCCTACAGTATTACTAATTTACTGTAAACATTATAATACTATTATCTTTCCTTCTATTACTGTAGAAAGGAATGAAAGAGTTAAGAACATGATTTTCAAATTAAAAATACTGAAAAAAAAGCATTTCACCAACACTTGTTTCCAGAATTAAGATAAAACACACATGTTTACACATATATGGTAAAAATCTATGAACATATCTTAGAACACAAGTAAAATCTGATGACCTTTAAAAACTACTGAATATCATTATCAGGATCAAATTCCTCTAAAAGTCATCCTTTATATGTCTGTGTGTCAACAAAATATATAAAATGATTAATTAAAATGAACAATTTACACATAAATTGATAAAATCATCAATGTTATTCATCCTCTTCAACCTTTTTCTTCTTCTTTAAACCCCAGGAATTCATGCCTTCCAACGTTTTGGCCGTCTTCATCTCAGCCTTGGTTACACGGCTGAAGTCAAGACATTGTAATTGTGGAAGCTTACTAAGCACCAGAAATCTGTATCCCTGATTATAAAAACATATACACAAATAAATATATATACACATGTAATTGTAACAAACCACAGGCGCTAGACGCACTATCACTATAACTGTATACTCTCATATAATAATGATGAAGAATTCTTCATATAATATAGTAAATAAGCATATACAGTGATATTGACTAGTCAAAATTGTCTAGCGCCTGTGCATCAAACATATAAAACTAATTAAACATTTAATATAACAACAGTCATGTCACATGACACCAGTACTTGCTTTATTTATAATTATAGTGACTCAAGAGTAATCTCTATGCTTGATTTGGTAATTTATATGGATTGTTAGCGCCATTTGTAAAATGCTTGATTTGGTAATTTATATGGATTGTTAGCGCCATTTGTAAAATGCCATTAATATCTTTGTTCACTCAACAATATTTTACTTTTAAATACATTTTCAAAATCTTCATGAAAATTAGCATAGATATGAAAGCATGCTGCTTTAACAAGGAGAAGACATTTATGGTAAAATATACTAATCTTATGTTTAAAAAAAATTCCTAACATGTTAAATTTATCTTGAAACATTGTACTTACTTTGGTATTTTTATGAAACTTAAAATATTGGTAGATGGCAGTCTGGAGATTATGCACATCTTTTTCTTTTCTTCCTATGTTGAAAATTCTGGTTGCTATGGCAACAAATAGCCTGGGCTGCGTTTCATGGAGAGTCCTAAGTCTTAAGTTTGTCTTAAGTCAAAAATTGTGACAATTTTGCGTTTCAAAGAAAGTCTGAAAAAAGGTCCTAACTTATGACTCCTAAATTTATGACCAAAAACAGTCCTAAGTCTAGGAGTGTAGGTATCTTAAGATTGTCCTAAGTTAAACCACTCAAAAATCAAACAATTTTTTGTTGAATTTTGTTTTGAAAACTATCTAGAATGATAGATAATGGTCTAACTAAGAAAATAAATCCGAACACCAATATCTTTAATTCAGTCATTAACGCTGTACAGACGTTTAAAGAGTTGTTTACATGACGTCACAATGTAGCGCCAAATATCGCGTGCAAAACAAGACGCATCTATAAATAATAATATTACTGCGCGCTGTACATCGTAACCATTTTTTTACTATGAAATTAAATAAAACGGTTATTTTATCGTTTTTCTTGAAATGTGGTATATATTTTCACTCAACAGGATAAGAGGGCAATACATTACTTTTTATACTTGATATTATCAATTACATAGTAAATCCAATCCGGGATTATGCGCGTGCCATTGTATTTTGTAACTTTTTTCAGGAGAGCGAATTGGTCATAAGTCTTAAGTTTAAGACAAAAGATAGGACAGTTACTTGAAACGGTCTTAAGTGCAAAAACTTTTTCTCCTAAAGTTGGTCATAAGTCCTAGGATTTAGGATTAACTTAGGACTCTCCATGAAACGCAGCCCTGATGTTTAAAAAAAAATTCCTAACATGTTAAATTTATCTTGTACTTACTTTAGTACTTTCAATCGGATTTCCATGCAACGTGAGTTTACGTAAATTCTTTAGAGGTATCAGTTGATCTATCTGGGCGGGGTCAGCTATTCCGTTGCCATGGAGATATAATATTTGTAAATTCTCAAACTCAGTTAGCTCCTGTAAAATGTAATTGATGTAAGAATTTATGACTACTTTTATAGTATTCAGAATCTTGAAATTCATCTCAAGATTCAAATGATATCATACTAGCACATGGAAAGCATGGTACAAGCAATGGTTTGTATGAAATACAGATACCTAAATCATGCAGAGTTATCAATTAAGACGATACTTTTATGCAAGAAAAGTGCCTATGCATCTTTTTTCCTGCATAAACATGTGCAAAAGGCATCTGACTTATTAAATCGCTCCCCCTGAGGGCTCGGGGTTTAAATGTGCCGGCGTGCTTCTGCAGATGTTAATACGCGAAAAAGATTAACTAAACCCTTTATCAATTTTATACTGTTATACCAGTGTATGAAGTATTATTTCCATCACTGTAAACACCATGCAAAGCTTCAAACAAGACCTCTACTTTTTTAGTGCTGGATAATAAATAGAAGCAAAAACCAAAAGGGGGCATAATCCTGCAAACATTAGCAGACTTACTAAAGTTCTGCCTTTTTTAAATGGCCTCCTTTATGACTATAAACATGTATATCATGTTTGAAGTCAAAACCTTTTATAGTTTCTGAGAAAAAAACAACACATTAACAAAAAAAGTTAACCAACGACTACATTATGAGTGGGTCATGACAATAGCTCCACTTTTATTTCCTTAAAAGTGAATTCAGAACAGTATACAAGTTTTGTCTATCCTGTGTATCAAATTTGCAAAAGAAGGTAAAAAAATCCAAAAGGTCTAAATGCTCTGTCAGCATTTGTGAAAAGTGAAAAAAAAATTATAGACATATACATGTAGTCTACCAACAGATAATTGTTTTTTCCTTATCTCATTATAACAATTAGCACATTTTCAAATAGTTTTCTACAAAGTTTATGCTTTTCCAAACATTCAAGACAAAGTTTTGTTTACCAATTTGTATGAAAAATATGGACTGCACTAAATATAAAACTCTAAAAAGATTCAAATCTCCATGCTTCAAAATGTAGGCATTTCTAAGATTTTTGAATTGAATTATAAATTATATACATGTATATATTCATATCAAGAGCGATCAGTAATCACATGTGTCGCCTCATGATGGCCAATTTCATGTTGGACAAATTTTGTGACAGACAGACAGACGGACAGTGCACAACTAGACTTGGTACTTATCATTCCTGTAAAGTTTGGATAAAATTGCACCAGTAGTTTGTGAGTAGTCCGAATGAGGAGTAGTCCGGACAAGCTTTTGCGTATCTGGCAACACACAGAAAAAAACACCTTTTTATCAAAGGGCCATAAGTCAGACAAAAATCATTCAACCAGAAAACCTGTGCAATATGCACAAGGACTTGAGCCACAGATCAATCCTGTAAAGTTTCATTGAAATTGCATTAGTGGTATAAGAGAAGTAGTCCGGACAAACTTTAAAATTAAAAATTATTAAAGGGCCATTACTCTGACAAAATCATTGAACCGGAAAATGCTGACAATATGCACAACTAGACTTGGTACTGATCATTCCTGTAAAGTTTGGATGAACTTGCACCAGTAGTTTATGAGGAGTAGTCCAGACAAGTTTTGTGACGGACAGACAGGCGGACGGACGGACAGACGACGGAGAAGTGATCCCTATATGTCGCCACTACTCCGTAGAGGCGACACAAAAAGGGATCTATAAGCTGTCTGAGGGAATATTTTTCATAAAAGTTATGTGGGAAGTTCACAAAGTTTTACAGCATTTCCTTTGTTACAAAAGATCAGAGTTATGTCTACCAAATGCCAGTATACAAAAGTAGCAAAAAATAAAATGAATTCTGACCATTTTCCAAAGATTTTTCACAGTTATTAACAGTTATTATTCTTCTTGAAGGGCCTCAATTTGAAAGAGAATATTCTCGTTCAAACATTAATGACAGTAATTTTCTGAATGGCAATCAAGAGAATGACAGATGGTCAAATAGGGGACATTAAATCTACATAAAATTTCACATTTCACATCATGATTTTTTGGTTTTCAAGAAAGCCAATAGCTGGTTATTAAAAAGGGTAGTGATAAATATACAATTATTGCTGACATCAAGGGTACTTTTTGAATGCATCTATGGATACCTCTTAGTATAATAGCCAGTACCCTCCCACATAAGAAGTACTCAGTGGTACCCAAGATGACTGTGTGGCCACAGCATCCGCACAGTCTGATCAGGATCCATGCTGTTCGCTTACAAACCCTTTTACAAGTAGAGAAACTGATAGCGAACAGCATTGATCCTGATCAGACTGCGCAGAGGCGCAGGCTGGTCTGGATCCATGCTGGTGACAAACCCACTATGTTGGTTTTGTCATGATGTGGCTCAAATGATGTTAAACAATTTAAATAACATAAATTTTCAGAAGTGACTGGCATTCTCTATCAGGACTGCATTCCTTTACACCTTTCTCCCATTCCTTGCCATGATTTCTTTGGTGTAAGCTCTAAGGTCATACAGGTAAGAATACAAATCAGTCTCAGCTTAAAGTAAAATTTTGTTGATCTTTTTCAGTTTAACAACATCACAAAAATATATGTACAATGCACAAAATTGTTGATTGTAGCTAGAATCTTTGATGAAATGGTTTCAAAGATTTTTTTGGAAAACATACTGCTGCTGTGCATATTTGATAAAACTAAAAAGATAGAGGGGAAAAAATCTTTGTGATCTCTTTTATGGGTACAATAAAGCAGTTTTGGGGTATACCAAGTATACTTGAAGGTACACAGAGAGCCTACAAGTAGTACACAGGGTGAGAAGAACCTCAATAGCTCTATTATTCACATGTATGTTTACCTTTTCACTAAGTCCCATTACCAAAGTAATGGAGAGAACATAGCTCTAAGGCTAATAGGCTCAACTGGCTTGGTAAACTATTGAGTATCAATTATACATGTAATCTATCAAACCCCTGCAAAGCAGCCCGTACATGCCTAGTACAACAATACCCTTTCTGCAATAACAGCATCAAAGACTCCACAATAAATACATGTGAAATCTTTTGGAACAACACCAATAATCAATAATTAAAATGTTTGTCTCTCAAATGTTATTGCTTAGCAGAGGTTACGCTATACATACAAATTACTAATAAACACATATAATTTGATAATGCCTTTACTTGACTGGTTTACTTACTGGTTCAATTTTTTGCAGTTCATTATGTGAAAAGTCAATCCATGCAATATCTTTCCAGTCTTCAAACTTGAGCTCTGTAAACTGTTTAAGACTTTTAAGAGTTGTAATACTATTGTTGTTAAGTCTAAGACATCTACCGTGCGACTTTCCTTCCTTATGTTGTACAGTATGTTTACCCTTGCGTGGAGATACTGGAGGCCGAGGGTCCTCATCATTTGCAGCTCAAATAATGAAATAATTTTTTACATAGAAAAACAACAATACACAATCTTTCATGAGCTAAGGGGAATTGAACATCTCATTTCATTCTAATGGACTACAATTTGTCAACTTAGTGCAGTAATGGAATAAGTCCTTTTTAATTTAATTTATTGCACTAAGCCGTCTAAGGTGATGAAATGTATATTGATTTCAATTAAACAGCAATTACTGGCAAAAAGGCAATTAAAAAAGTTATAAGGCAATTTAAAAGTTCTTAAGGTGACAACGGAGTCAATTATAACTGAAAATACCTAAAATGAGATTTTTTGCTAAGTAGATTTATCAACCTTTTCTGAACACATTTGTGATTTTATTTTGGAAGCAGTTAGTCCAAAAAATGTGTTTTTAAACGTTTTAAAACGGAACCTATACTATTTGTATCTGCTATTCGCGTAACCTGTCGATTATCGATAACGCTCCGCCCCCTGTTGAGGCATCAATGAGGGAAATCGGTAGTTCCCTATATCCGTGAATTACAGGTCCATACTTCTCGTAATACATGTATCGTACAACTAACGTACATCTTTTATGAATATCTCAACATTTAGCCTTTTTTATAAATTAAGAAATTGTCGGCCAATGTATGTAACATAATGTATGAAACATAAATGATTAAGCATAGCGGCAAATCGCACGACCACGGGGTTGATTAAAAATGTAGTTGCTAAAATATCCGGATAATGTGTGAAAATAATTTGTCTGTCCCGTTAATCTGATAGATATTACGTTGAGTTGATAGACTTTTGTACGGATTCAAGGGCTTACTTTACATTCAACCTCGTTTTCTAACAATGTCAAGCAAAACAACAACAAAAACAGACAACATTTTTATATGTGAACGCCTATGTGACTTGTGGAAAGGTGTCCCTGACAAATTTCTAAACCATTTTAGATTGTCTAAGGATGATTATTTCTCTATAAATAAAAAAAAGATATTAAAATATATTCTCAGTGAAAATAAATTGTTCGCCAGTAAATCGGACACAGTACTAATAAATCTGGGACAAAGTATGAAATTTATTGTCTATCCCGGTAGAAACTGGATCTCTATGCCGTGCATAGATGATATTCATAATAGAAGTCAAGAAGGCCAGATCATAATGATCTAGTAATACCTTTTATTTCTATTAAAATATGTGATACATTATCAATTTGGTGGAAAAAATATATAATAATCCGTGCTTATTTGTACATCTACCACGGACTTTAAAAGACTGTCAGAAGCTTAGTTTTTTGTTATTTTATTTTATATTTTAACGGAATTTCATACACGAGTGATACTGGTATAATACAATAATAATGCTAATGATAATAATAATAAACTTCAAAAAGGAAACAATTAAATACCCCGCTAGCGGTGCGCAAATGCGTTCCATTTCCCCCCACTGAGTGCCTCAAATTTTACCGATAGTCACGTGACATGTGAGACAGATACCAGACGATCAGTAAATCACGTTAAGAATTGAAGAAATTTCAGCTATAAACTGATATTAATCAGCAGCTTTTTAATTGGTCAGATGTCACTGGGTCATAAAATGTTGTTAGAGTATGTTACCGCAACTTGTGACCCTCTCTGGTGCGATATTTGTGTATTATGCAATTATTTAGCGTGAAACGTAGGGGTCCGAGAGAGAACAGCCGATTTATGACACTTCGTTTGATGCGGGTCGGACTTACTTTGAATCGGCATAACTTTTTTAATAATCAAGCAATTAACATGCGGTTTAAAGCACATGAAAGGAAATTCATTTACGGAGGGAACCGTGTCAGGGATTTTTGTTTGCTCAATAGGCGACTTAATTATCTTTAATTACGTAATATGTATGGTGAAAAAAGTCGCATAAAATGTTTGACGTTACGTAATATCTTTTTGAGAAAAGATAGAAAAAATTTGAGACACGGTTCCCTAGATAATATAAGTATGGTTATTTTCAAAAAGTTTGATGACAAAAAATTAAAAAATGACTTTGATATGACGATTTAAAATTTTAGGATTTTTATTCAAAATCAATCATTTACAAAGGCATTTTTTTCAAATATGTTATTTTTTATAATGATCAACGACATTTAATGCACAAAGATTAAATAAATAACAATTATTACTAAAATATCTTTGTTTAAATGACATTTATGTGAGTACCACGGAAAGTGTCTGTTGTCACCTTAAAACATTAAACTTTAGTAAATTTACAATCAAACAGACCAGAATAATGAGTTTATTCAAGAGTTATCATTGATCAAAAAACTTCTTAAGTTCACAAAGGCCCATATTTCATTCAAATTCTATGCCAAGATTTATGGAACAGTGATTTCCAATTATGATCCTAATGTTAAGACATACATGTATTAAGATTCAAGGGGATACCTTTAGTAGTTCTGAAGGATTAACTTGCATGCAAAATATAAACCAAGAATTTTTTAAGTTCACAGGGGGCCATAATTTATAATTATTTATTAGTTATAGGCCTTGGATAGTGACTTCCTGATCTTAAATATATATGAAGTTGTACAAGAAGTTGCAAAAAAAACCATTAACCAGTAATGTTACGCCAACAAGTATGATAGCCCGCTATAATTCCTTAAAAAGTTGAAAAGTATTTCAATGCACACCACTGATCTGAGAAGATTGTGATAGTTTATACCCAAAAGAAATACAAAGACAAACATATATTTAACTTGAATATATTTAAAGTAATTAAAGTTAACATGCTGTCATGATACTAAGTCATTAAAATGGGCTGAGTTGTCACTAATAAAAGTGAATCTTTATCAATTTGAATATTGATTATACATTGGTTTAAATGACTATTCTCTGTTCTTAACAAAACAAAATGTCTTTTACTTTGTGTAACAAATCATACATTTAAAATGGGGTAAATCAACCTTAATCTGGGTAGAAATAATGCTAAAATGAGGCAAATTATTATGGGGCTAATCATTCTTTTCCTTTCCTTAGATTCTAAACCTCAAGTTGTGAATGCCAGTGTGACTCTTTTAATTAGTTAAAAATATAAAACTTTACTGTACAAACCGTCTATAGTTTCTAAGCCAAAGAACCCATAATTCAGTGGTTGGTCCAACTCATTGTGTGTATCGATGGTACATTTCATTTCTTGCTTACGCTTTTGCTGGTAAGGTACAACACTAAATAAAACAAAATAACATTTGTTATACAAATAAGTAGCTTAAAAAGTATTTATCAATCTAAATTACATGTAATTGACATTCAAATCATGAACCATTAATTTCATTCCCTCGTTCAGATTAATATTGTCCACAATTTTATGGATTTTTTGGTTTTGTTGAATAAAATAATCAGTTGTGATGTTCTCTAATTAAAAGAGCACTGTACTGTCAGGTTTAACTGACCAAAAACACCACAATTAAGCTATCATTTATTGATATCCTTAAAAACTCGTATCTCTTGCCTATTTACTTGGCACAATCACTTAGAATTAATTAAATAAAATTCATTATTACATTTAATAATCAAGATACACTATCAGATTTACTGTTCAGGAATGAAAATTGAAATGAATAAATTTAAATGTGTAAACATGGAAGCCTTGAACTCAAGGCAATATAAAACAAGAGCTGTCCGTAAGACAGCGCGCTCGACTTTTTTATTGCTTGCCAATAAAAAAAGTTTTTGCAGTAAAAGGCAATACAAGAATCTCTGTATTTTTAAAGTGAACAATGGCCATGAGCATTAAGATATTTAGTGAAGAATTATTTTATTATGACATAATTTATGGTAAAGTGAACAAGTGGATAGGAATGAATTTTTTTAGATTTTTTAAGTTTTTTAGTGCTTGCCTATAATACAAAACATTGACAGTTAAGGGCCATAATTCAAATAAAATCTTTGACAGAATTACCTTCTCCTGGACATGTTTTGGGAATCATGATTGTAAACAAGTATTCCAACTTTCAAATTAATATCTCAAACAGTTCAGTCAAAAAGTGGACTGGTACTAAAAACTTAACCAAGATTCTAAGTCGATAAAAGGCCTTAATTTTTAAAACAAATCCTTGACAGAGTTACCTTCTCTTGCGTACAGATGGGGGTAATGATGTGAAATAGCATTAAAAGTTTCAAAGCAATATCTCAAAGGGTTAAGGCAATAAGTGGATTTTACCCATATTCAATGTATTTTCTAAGTCAAAAAGGGGCATAATTCTGTCAAAAACCTTGACAGAGTTATGTCCTCTTGTCTGTTGATGAAGGTCGTGATGGTAAACAAGTATGGTCAGTTTCAAAGCAATACCTCCAATGGTTTTGAAATAAAGTGAGGTGGTACAAAAAACTTAACCAAGCTCAATACACTTTCTAAGTCAAAAAAGGGCCATAATTCTGTCAAAAACCTTGACAGAGTTATGTACTCTTGTCTGTTGATGGAGGTTATGATGGTGAACAAGTATGGTAAGTTTCAAAGCCATACTTGTAATACTTCTGAAATAAAGTGGGGTGGTACGAAAAACTTAACCAAGGTGTGACGCCGACGCCGGGGCGAGTAGGATAGCTCCCCTTTTCATAGAAAAGTCGAGCTAAAAATGAGGTGGCCCTGAAAATAGTCAAAATATATTGACGCACAAAAGCTAGATTCTGTTGGGCAGTACAATTAGTTGGACTACCCTGTAGTGCTGATAAGGGTTGTTGGTGCCCAAACAAAAGGCCTGCATTTCAAGCCGCCACTGTGTACTGGTAGACAGACATTTCACTATTGAGACGGTTCACACCAAGACGTTTCACTCCCAAATGGGAGTGAAACGTGTTGAAGACATTTCATTCCCATTTTATACCAAAATTATTCTGATACTTGTGCTATACTACAATCTGTCCCAGCTACAATAGACCTTAATTTCACTTAAAAAATGTAATGAATAAGGGGATTTCACTTTCTGTCAATGACTGAAAACTCAGGACTTTTAAGTTTGTATATCATAATTGTTAAAGTTTTATTTATTTATTTTTACTTGATTAGAAAGATCTTTGATCTCTTTATGTTGGCCCATCTATTTTTTCAGATATTTATTCTTATTTAGGGAAAGATATCATATATGACCGGATATAATTGTATGAAAGTTGCAGTTCTTTAAAGATGTTTATGATAATAATTTATAAGTGTTTTTCTTTGCATTAAGTATATTTTTATATCAATAAGTAAAAAAATATTCTGCAGATCATCTAACATAATATTTATCTCTTAATATCTGATTAAATTTTTTTTTGCTATATTTTTTTAACAAAACTTATGGAGGAATTTCTGTTTCCAAGACTTTGGTTTTAATTGACTGAACATTGTCTAAAATTATTTCAATGGTCAAATAAACAACTGATTAATAACTGTTGATGCTAAAGTGCAATGTTTATACAACTAATTTAATAGTGATGTCAAACTGTTAATTGATGATCTCAGTGTTTATACAACCAATAAGGTGATGAGATTACTGTTAACACCTCAATTACGTACATTTTTAACGGCTACTGTTCAATAAATTGATAAAGAAATAATTTAAATGAATAATTAATTTTATACACATTTTCCGCATTTTATTGATAAATTTATTTACAAAAAATAATAAACATATCTAATATATTGATATTATTTATTATTTAAAAATATTAATTTCTGTACTGGTAGCAGTTTCAATATTGAAACTGGTACTAACAATGTGTCTGTGTTGTTCATGAACATTTTCATTATGTTATGATCCTATTATCTTTCTTGATTTATTATAAATAGAATTTTCTCATGTTGTTACTCTTATAATAAAAATGATATTTCAGACATTTGTTTTTCATTTAAACCTGTTATCATTCAACCCATACTTAATGAGTACAATGATAATCTTCTAATAATTCATCATAATTATGTCCTCATTGAAACCAACATTTTTACTCCTAATAATTAACAGGAATTCTTCAAAACAATGTTTAAACAGAACAAAATTCACTTTCCTGAGCTGAAACTATACTGTATAGATTATAATTATTTACACATTCTGTTATATTTCAGAACAAATATACTTTTATAATCATTCTTAACATTCATAAATTCTTCTTAACAAGACTCTCAAATTCAACAAAATGAAACATTAAATTGAATTTCCTCTTCATAATGAAAATAAATTTGTTAACTTTCTTAATAAAAAACATCTAAAAAAATGGGAGTGAAACGTCCATACAATTGACAAAATGGGAGTGAAACGTCTAGGTATGAACCGTCTTGGGAGTGAAACGTTTCAATAGTGAAATGTCTTGGGAGTGAAACGTCCGACATTCCTGTGTACTAGGGGCTAAAGCACCCTTACACCATTCCTTGTCATCCCTGCCTACTAAGTATGGCCACTCCCTTGGCTTCACACAGTACATCAGCAGCTGGCTCGCAGAATATGAGAGCAACTTGATCTACTTTTATAGGATTATTTTTATTCTTGTGGAATTGTTTTATAAACAATATTAATGATTAAGACACATGCGCTATTTGTGTTTAAATATTTTATTGACCGTTTGCAGGTGTAGTTTAAGCCAGGGGATAGGCTCTGTTCCCTCAACAGACCCACAGGCACGAGTATCGGACAGGTTTTATTATCAATCTGGTCATATTTTTTCTTCTCAGGTCTGTACTCGTGCCTGTGAAAAGACCAAGGGATAGAATAAATTTTATTTCCTGATCAACTTTTCATCACGTTGGACAAAATTCATACACTTTAAAACAATACTTTCCCAAAGAAACCAATACTTGCCTCGTTCCTGACATTATTTCGGTTGGCTTTTTAATACAGTTTCAAAGGTTTTTTTTTAAATTTGAACTTATTTATGCCGCCATTTTGTTACTGGGGTAACGGTCCAAAGTTACCCGTATGTAAACAACTTTGTATGACAAACGGATTCAAAAATATGCGGACCCTTTGATGGTCACATGACATGAAAATGGCGGAAGGACAGGTAAACAAGTTTTCAAAATTACATAGTTATTTTTGGATATACGTCTCTTGTATTATGTCCAAGGTAATTCCAGTGTAGTTACCAAAGATTTATATTATGAGGTTATCATGTTTTACCGTAAAGTCAAAGAATTTGAAGTGAAATTAAATTTGAAATATTTTAACATCTAGAGAACTTCCCCCTAAGCTTTGACTAATAAATAGTGACACCGATAAATGTAATAAAATATCACATTGGGTAAAGGTAAGATATATGAAAAACATGGTTACAAATACTATTCAAGAAAATCTTCAGAGAAGACGAATAGCATTACACTAACATTAGTATCATTCATGCAAAAGTAAGAAGTAATACATATTAAGATCTGATATAATAAACATCCATTAAAATACATGTTGCAGACCAAATAAAATACACATCATGTAAGGCAAAACATCAAGCATACATACATATAGTAAAATGCATAGACACACAGACTGACAACAGTCCATGACCTTGTCTCCTGAGGCATGATGTACAATGTATGATGTGGGATCACATGTATATTTACATGGTCTGACATACTTGATTTCAGCAACTCCATCAACTAGAGCTGTCATCGATATCGACGTATCGTTGATATTTTTTTGTAGATCAATAATCGATACACATTTCAAAAAATCGATACTTTTGACTTATAAATTAAATGTCTAGAAATTATACAATTCACCCAAAATATATGAAGAAACAGTTACATGTATTTATATCTAATGTTATGCTTTTGTTATATAATGGAATTATTTCATAGCAATGGTGACAAAAAATATTGTCTGGAAAAAATCATGCAGTGGACAAGACACTGTACAGAACATGTTTTTGACTGAAATCATTGAAACAGGTATGAAAGTGAATGAAAGACAAGTGAGTATAGGATATTATCGATATATCGGTGTATCGTTGATTTTAGTCACTTGATATCGATATATCGTTGATATGCTTTGCACTGAATCAATGACAACTCTACCATCAACACTGTGACCATGAAGGTAGTGGTAGAGAGAGAGGAATCCGAACCAGCCACAGTTTATTCAGGTGTTCCACAATTTAAGGTACAATCCTCGGCCCACTCATCTACTTTTGTCATATTAATGCTATCAGACTGAGTTAAGTCAACAATACGTTTATTTGCTGAAGACTGACTAGTCACTATCGAACGCTCTACCCTGGAATACAGTTCTATCCTCTGGGATCCAAACCTCCAGAAAGAGATTGACAAGCTTAAAGCAGCATGCCTCCAGATTCATGCTAATTTTCATGAAAATTTTGAAAATGTATGTGAATGTATAATATTGTGATATAACCAAAAGGAAGTCATTTAAAGACATTATCAATGGCACTTCCAAGCCATGTTAATTACCAAAAAGTGGTCAAAATATGCATTAATAGCCCTTACTGTGTTAGTAACGCAGTAGAAATATAGTTGTAAATACTAAAAATTCAGTCATTTACCGCACATGACATGTAAAATATTACTTGAATCATTTTACGTTTCCTAAAATTGAAGTACTTATTTCTCAAGTTTGATTTTATTGAAATATTTTGACTCATCTGGAGGCATGCAGCTTTAAGAAGGTCCAGAGACAGTCAGCTAGGTTTATCACAGACGACTACACCACCAGGTCCCCCGCGTGTGTCACACAATTGCTTCGAGACCTGAAAATACCTTCACTCCAGGAACAAAGGAAAGCAAACAGACTGACAATTTTTTATAGGTGGTTGGGGGGGGGGGGGGGCTGGTGCCAGCCCTGCCTTGCCAAGACTACTTAATGCCTGCCCATGTAAATAAATGCAGAGTGAAAGCTAAGACTTTTGGGAAATGTGCCACAGAAAATATTATTGAAAACCAGATAATAAATCACTCTAAATGCTTTAAAACTGTGCAGTGTAAAACTTAAAGTTATAACCAATCATTTTTCCCACCAACAATTGTCAATTGAAATAAATTGAGTGATAGTGTTGTGTAAGCTAAGACAGTAGACGGCTTCAAATCAGCTGTGTTCCATTTGGACTAACTCCTCTCTCCTGTTGCTTATATGCTGAAAGGCCCTGCAACTTATCATCCAGATCCAGACAGAGCTCTAAAACATTAGCAAATTATGTGTATAAAGCATTGTTAAGACTTAGCAATAAAATGGCACAAAAGGTTAAAATATGCATAACAAGCAGTAAGCCTGACATTTACATACACACAACCATCAACTGTTATATATAAAAAAATGATACATACAACACTGTAGCAAAATAAATAATTAATAATAAATAAATAATTAATTTAAACAAATCTAGCACAATAAAAGCATATAAAGTAGGGATCTAAGAGAATAATGGCAACATTAAGCATACTGAGTGTGAGCCCAATACAAAGTATTAAAAGCATACATAGTAAAAACTACATCAGAAAAGATAACTAAAAACTTGAAAAATCCAGCATCTCGCTGCCAAAACATTTTGGTTTTTAACGGATGTTTTATGTGACATTACATGATGAACAGGAGAAATTCAAGAATGTTTCAGATGTAGTAAATCATTTAAATATTCTGGAGACACATCATTTAAAATTTTGCATGTTTCTTAAGCAATTGTTCTTAACCGCCTAACTTTCAATGAAATACGTCCAGACTTCTCAAGTACTTGTTCATAACTACTGCTTAAATCATCATAAATTAATGTTAAAGACTCTTTGCTGAGTTTTCTCTACTTTCCTAGTGTTTAATACATTTGTAAAATGCCAAGTCAGACTGGTTATAGTTAGTTGGTTGAAGTCCCACAATGGGTTTGTTTCTCTTTCAACTTCCATAATCCACCCAGGAATTATAGATACTGTAAAATCAGTTGTTTATCGTACTTCACTTGACCTTTGAGTCTATTTACTTTCTTTAACACCTTAGTACATGTGTACATTTCTCTCAAGTTTGATTTTCTTGAAATATTTGGGCTAATCTGGAGGCATGCCGCTCAGTAAGTAAATAAGAAAAACTAATTAAATTTTGAAATTTGTTTTTCATGTAGATGTTATTATTACAATGCTTTTTTTTCTTTCAGTGGTTGGCTCTTCTCTTGTGTATAACTTCAGTTTACCATGTGACTTGTCTTAATAATGGGTTAGCACTGACCCCACCAATGGGCTGGTTGTCATGGGAACGATACAGATGTATCACTGATTGTGAAACATATCCAGATGATTGTATAAGGTAATATTTGTTGATAGGTGACAACATTTATCTACTTTAAATTTTATTAGAATAGAAGTTGTGTCTTTTTTTGTGTGTGGTCATTTTTTTGAAAACTACAACATTTTTAAAGAAAAAGACAGAACCATTGTCACGCCCCAGACTCTTTGGCATTGTTTAAACCTTTTTAGCTCACCTGTCGCAAAGTGACATGGTGAGCTTTTGTGATCGCTTTTGGTCCGGCGTCCGTCCGTAAACTTTTACTTTAAACGACATCATCTCAAAATCAGCTTAGCAAATTTCATCCAAACTTCATAGAATGGTTCTAAATGGTAGTCAACTTTAAAAATTGTTCAAAGAAGTTAAATCCAAGCAGAACTCTGGTTGCCATGCAACCAAAAGAAAAAACTTAAAATATCTTCTTTTAGAAAACCGAAAGAGCTAGAGCTTAAATATTTGGCATGAAACATCATCTAGTCAGTGTCTACCAAGTTTGTTCAAATAAATGCCCTGGGGTCAAAATTAGGTGGGGGGGTCATTGATTTCCTTATTTGTATATAGTAAAAACTTGAAAAAACTTCTTTTAAAAAGCCAAAATAGCTAAAGCTTAGATATTAAGCATGAAACATCTTCTAGTGGGTGTCTACCAAGTTTGTTCAAATGAAAGCCCTTTGGTCAAAATTGGCCCCGCCCCAGGGGGTCATTTTTTTACCTTTATGTATATAGTAAAAACTTAAAAATTCTTCTTTTAAAAAAACCCTAAGAGCTAGAGCTAAGATATTAAGCATGAAACATCTTCTAATAGGTGTTTACCATTTTTGTTCAAATAAGGGCCCTGGGGTTAAAATTGGCCGTGTCCCTGGGATCATTGATTTTCCTTATATGTATATAGGAAAAACTTGAAAAATCTTCTTTTCTACCAAGTTTGTTGAAATAAAAGTTCTTTGGACAAAATTGGCCCCGCCCAGGGAGAGAAGGGGGGGGGGGGGTCATTGTTTTTCCCTATATGTATATGTGTATAGTTAAAACTTAAAAAATCTTCTTACAGCTGGAGCTTAGATATTTATCATGAAACATCTTCAAATTGGTGTCTACCAAGTTTGTTCAAATAAAAGACCCTGGGTTAAAATTGGCCCCGCCTTGGGGGCCTATATACAGGTGAGCGATTTTAGGGCATCATGGCCCTCTTGTTTGTTCAGTTCCCTTTTTCAGTATATCTTATTAATTTCAACATGTAACACCAGTTTTCAGATCAAAAGATCAAGACTGTTGTGTAATGACATAACAATTAATGACATTGCAAATAATGACATAACAATTAATGATATGACATAGTGATTAATGATATGCAATAAATGACATGACATAACATTTAATGGCATAACAATTAATTACATGATTGTTTTTGTTTGTTTTGGGTTTTACGTCACATCAACACAGTATAGGTCATATCGCGACGTTTCAGCTTTACTGGTTGAGGAATACCTCGGGTGCCCTTCCGTGCATTATTTCAGGCACGAACGGGCACCTGAGTTGAACCACCAACGTTCCGTAAGCTAGCTGGATAGCTTCCTCACATGAAAGAATCCAAAGTCCCTGTAGGGATTCGAACCCACAGTGGTGAGGGGCAAGTGGTTTGAAGTCAACGACCTTAATTACATGAAATTGCAATCAATGACATAGCAAGAGATAGCAATTAATGACATTAATGATATGACATAGTATTGAATGACATTGCAATTAATGACATGACAAAGCAATTAATGACATGCAATTATTGACATGACATAGCACTTCATGACATAGCAATTAATGAGAAAGCAATTAATGACATTGGAATTAATGACATGACATAGTAATTAATGACATTGCAATTAATGACATGACAAAGCAATTAATGACATTGCAATTAATGAGAAAGCAATTAATGACATTGCAATTAATGACATGACATAGCACTTCATGACATAGCAATTAATGAGAAAGCAATTAATGACATAGCAATTAATGAGAAAGCAATTAATGACATTGCAATTAATGACATGACATAGCACTTCATGACATAGCAATTAATGAGAAAGCAATTAATGACATAGCAATTAATGAGAAAGCAATTAATGACATTGCAATTAATGACATGACATAGTAATTAATGACATTGCAATTAATGACATGACAAAGCAATTAATAACATGCAATTATTGACATGACATAGCAATTAATGAGATAGCAATAAATGAGATAGCATTAAATGACATGACACTGAAATAAATGACATTGCGATAAATGTCATGACATAGCAATTAATGACAAAGAGATTTATGATATTGTGATTAATGAAATAGCAATTAATGACATAGCGATTAATAACATGACATAGCAATTAATGACATAGCGATCAATGACATAGCAATAAATGAAATGACATTGCAATTAATGACATGGCATATCAATCAATGACATGACATAGCAATTAATGACATTGTGATTAATGACATAGCAATTAATGACATGACATACCAATTAATGACATACCAATTAATGACATAGATATCTTTGTCATTTAGTACAAATTGATTCTTATAAAGTTAGTAATGTCAGAAATCAAAAAAGTCGGAAACCAAAACTCAGAAACCAAAGCAGTTTTTTGTTCACTTTATGTTACATATTGCAGTGAAAAGCTATACATGGAAATGGCCGACTTGCTAGTATCTGAAGGTTACAAGGATGTAGGATATCAGTATGTCAATATTGATGATTGCTGGATGTCTAAAGAAAGGGATGGAAGAGGGTCCCTCGTAGCAGACCCAGAGAGATTCCCACATGGCATTAAACATCTAGCAGATTATGTAAGACCTTTTTCTCTCTGCAGCTTTGTTTGAAAATAAAATACAAGGACTGACTGATAAATTCTAGGAATTCTCTTCTCAAGAATTGTTTTTTTTTTTTTTATATGAAGCCTATCAACTTGTTATCTTCCCTTTTATTATCAGGTTTAATAATTACGAAGATTATATGGTCTCCATAACAACCAGTTTATTGACTTGAAGCACGCTATAATTTTACATATTCTAAAAAGTAGGTTAAAATTAAAAAATAAAACCTTTGGCAAAACAAACAAATGACATTAGCGTGACATTTTGGCATCATTTCTTGACAGCCAGCACTGTACCTTTATCTGGTAACTTCATGTATCAGTTTTATTATTGTAAGAAATGCCACTAATTCACTTTATGGTCATATGGATAAACAACAGAATTTATTACCCTAACAAAGTTTGGACCCCTGGCAATGAAAGAAGTCCTTTAATCTCAAGAAATGTTAGAAGAGATTTTATGTTGTTCTTTTTTTTAAGTTTTAACTTGCAGTCATTTTGATAACACCTTTTTACAGATACATTCAAAAGGGCTGAAAATGGGTATATATGAGGACTTTGGAACAAAGACTTGTGGTGGTTACCCAGGTAGCAAGTTTTACCTGCAGGAAGATGCAGAAACATTTGCCTCATGGGGTGTTGACATGCTCAAACTAGATGGTTGTTACACTAATGCAGCAGATTATGAATATGGTACAAACATTTACATACTTTTCTGAATTTTAACACTGACATACCACCACATTAGTGCAGTAATGATTTAACTGGAGTTAACCCGTTACAGCACTAAGGTGATGATACGGTCATCTGATCGTAAGCCAGACTGGTAGTCAACACACCTGACAATAAATTTATTACTTTTGCCGATTGAGGATTTAGAACTGTGCACCTAGGTAGTGGAATAGATTTACCTGTATGTTTGGGGAAAAAATCAAATTGACATCTTTTAAGACAAATATTAAGACAATTTTCTACAGAAATTATAATTCTTGCATTTAAGCTACATTGACAAATTGCAGGAAACAAATTAATTTCATTTATATTTGACCATACAAACTTACACCACTCGGTAATTTAATACATTGACTTTTGTACATTTGCTCATTATTGTTTCCAGTATCTCATGTTTATTATTGTATTATTGTTCCACAATAGAGAGTATAGGTTGGGCTTAATTAAATGAAATAGTTTCTTTGGTATGAAAATTTCATATTTCATAGGTAATGTAAGATTAGTTGATTATTTATAACATTGTTCCATATCTAAATTTCAACATTTAGGTTTTTAGATTGTTTTATGCTTAATTTATGTAGGTTACCCGATTATGGAGTTCTTTTTGAACAGGACAGGACGACCAATGTTATATTCCTGCAGTTGGCCTGCATATGTATCTAATGTAAGTAGTTTCAATTTTACTTTTTAGGATGGTGCAAACTAACATCACTGTTTACAAGAATGATACAACTTCTTATAGAAGTTATTGTGTAAATGTGCTGAATGGCAACTATGTTTTATCTTATGATAATATCAACTATGTTTTATCTTAGGATAATACCAACTATATTTTATCTTAGGATAATACCAACTATATTTTATCTAAGGATAATACCAACTATGTTTTATCTTAGGATAATACCAACTTAGGCAACTATGTTTTATCTTAGGATAATACCAACTTAGGCAACTATGTTTTATTTTAGGATAATACCAAATATATTTTATCTTAGGATAATACAACTATGTTTTATCTTAAGATAATACCAACTATATTTTATCTAAGGATAATACCAACTATGTTTTATCTTAGGATAATACCAACTTAGGCAACTATGTTTTATTTTAGGATAATACCAACTATATTTTATCTTAGGATAATACAACTATGTTTTATCTTAGGATAACACCAACTATATTTTATCTAAGGATAATACCAACTATGTTTTATCTTAGGATAATACCAACTATGTTTTATCTTAGGATAATACCAACTTAGGCAACTATGTTTTATTTTAGGATAATACCAACTATATTTTATCTTAGGATAATACAACTATGTTTTACCTAAGAATGATATCAACTATGTTTTATCTAAGGATAATACCAACTATATTTAATATTAGGATAATACCAACCATGTTTTATTTTAGGATAATATCAACTATGTTTTATCTTAGAACAATACCAACTATATTTTATCTTAGGATAATACAACTATGTTTTACCTAAGAATGATATCAACTATGTTTTATCTAAGGATAATACCAACTATATTTAATATTAGGATAATACCAACCATGTTTTATTTTAGGATAATACCAACTATATTTTATCTTAGGATAATACAACTATGTATCTTAGAATAGTACCAGCTATATTTAATATTAGGATAATACTTACCATGTTTTATCTTAGGATAATACCAACTATTTTATCTTAGGATAATACCAACTATGGTTAATCTTAGGATAATACCAACTATGTTTTATCTTAGGATAATACCAGCTATGTTTAATATTTGAATAATACCAACTTTGTTTTATCATAGGATAATTCTAGCAATGTATTATCTAAGGATAATGCCTTTTTTGTAGGTTAATTAAAAAGTACCTGGTTAATTATTGTATATACATTAAACTTAGTTTTTTGATATCAAAGTTAATAAAAAGATATAGTGTACAGATCATATGATCAATATGGAAATTGTTATAATTATATGTTATTATATGTAAAATGTTATTTCATATTTGAATTTCACATTGATTGCTAATTTTGGAATACATATACTTCAATCAATTTTTTTTTTGTTTAATTAAAATTATTGACATGTGTTTCTTTATTTCAGCCTGATTATGTAAAGATAGCAAAATATTGCAATATTTGGCGTAATTATGCTGATATAGGGGATTCATGGGACAGTGTACGAGGTATTATAGACTTTTATGGAAAGGATAAAGGGAACTTCAGTAAAGTAGCTGGACCTGGTCAGTTTAATGATCCTGATATGGTATGTTTTACATCATAATATGAGCCGCGCCATGACAAAACCAACATAGTGCGTTTGCGACCAGCATGGATCCAGACCAGCCTGCGCATACGCGCAGTCTGATCAGGATCCATGCTGTTCACTTACTTACCTAATTACAAGTAGAGAAACGGATAGCTAACAGCATGGATCCTGATCAGACTGCACGGATGTGCAGGCTGGTCTGGATCCATGCTGGTCACAAACGCACTATGTTGATTTTGTCATGAAGCAGCTCATATTAAAAGTACTTGTTCACAGAATAACTTTAGTTAATTAAGTGTCAACTTAGAGCATTATATGCCGTAAAATAAGCATAGCTTATTTAAAATGCACGCATGTTTTGACCTGTCTTTATGATTCAATGCAAAACATATCAACAATATATCAATATCGGATGACAAATATCAATGATTCATCAATACAGTTTATATAGATAATTACCATAATTACTTGTCTGTCATTCACTTTCATACCTGTTTAAATGACTTTAGTTAAAAATATGTTCTGTTCAGTGTCTTGTTTATAAAAGCCCATTGCATGATTTTTTTCGAGAACATATTTTTTTGTCATCATTGCTGTGAAAAATATGTCCACTATATGACAACACCATAATGAAGACACAGATAACTGCTTTTGTGTATGTTTAAGGTGATTTTTTGTGATTTCTTGACATTTAATTAATAAGTCAAAATAATTGATTTTTTGAAATGTGTATCAATTATTGATAGACAGAAAAAATATCAATGATACATCGATATTGTCTCTATTGATGACAGTTCTACTTTATGCTGAATCCAGGTCATTATGACCATAAACATTACAATTGTTTATAAGGCATTTTCATTGAATATTTAAGTTAACTCAGATTTATGCTTGTAGTGCTGGACTTAGCAATGTTCAATATGTAGAAAATATATATCTTGCATTTTAAGCTCGACTTTTTGAAGAATAGGGAGAGCTATGGTACTCGCTTTGGCTTCTTTGTGGCGGTCTGCATCTCTGTCACACTTTGGTTATGCTTTTGCATGCATGTTGGTATCTCTAAAATTACTGAAAGGAATGTGTTTTAACATAATGCACTAAATGTCTTGTTCTCTGTGATTATTTTATATGATTGGCACATGTTCCATATCTCTTGAGTTACATTTTAACAAAGTTATGCCCCTTTTCTTACTGTCAAGCATTGAGAATAGTTGAGCACACTTTTTAACGGACAGCTATTTAGAAAATCATACATGTGAACTCTCCCACTTTAAGCGGGAGACTCCCACTTTTTGCATCCAAACTTCCAAAGATTTTTCTTAAAATAAGGGGTATTTTCACAAATTAAAGAAATCTCCCTATTTTTGATGTCAGAACTTCCTTCTTTGTTTATTGCAAATTCTAAAATCTCCCTCTTTTTGAAGAAAAATCTCCCACTTGATCATCCAAAAAAGTTCACATGTATGGAAAATTGATAATGAAACACAAGCAACTGCATTCAGTAATATTTGGCAATGATTCATTGTTTTTAACCACAATTGATATATACAAAATCAACAATATTCTGAGATTTAAGAATATTGACTTACTTCATGCATATTAGAGCAGCGCCATGACAAAACCAACAGTGCGTTTGCGACCAGCATGTAACCAGACCAGCCTGTGCATCTGTTTAGTCTGATCAGGACCCATGCTGTTCGCTATCATTTTCTCTTCTTGTAATAGGGTTTGTAAGCAAACAGCATGGACCCTGATCAGACCGTGCGGATGCCCAGGCTAGTCTAGATCCATGGTGGTCACAAACACACTATGTTGGTTTTGTCATGGTGCTGCTCATTTGTATATACATGTATATAAACTTGTAAAATTTCAACCATATAGCTTAAGGTACATTGAATTTTTTAAATGTCATGTAAGATTATTTTCAGAAACAGAAATGAAGAAACATTTGTAGAGTTATTAGTTTTGTGCACATGAATAAAAGTTGTTTTTTTTAATCAGATAATAATAGGAGACTATGGGTTAAGTTATGAACAACAGAGAACACAGATGGCACTGTGGTCAATGATGGCTGCACCATTATTCATGTCCAGCAATCTGAGAAAAATGCCCCAAAAGTCAAAGGCTTTACTGCAGAACAAGAGAGCTATAGCCATAAATCAGGACCCACTTGGGATACAAGGAACAAGAATAGATATGGTAAGAGTGCACAGTAAAATATTTTGGGTTAAAGATAATGTTTGTGCATTGTATTACTTTTCTTATTTAATCAAAATCTTTATTTATGATAATACTGGTTCCTTTGTTTATAATTTGTCACTTGAATATCCTTATTGTGGGTTAAAACATGCAGAGACATACCTTAAATGTTCTGTTCAGTTCCATGTGACATACATACAGTTTGAGTGGTGGCCTAGTGGTTAAGGTGTCTGCCTCTCAACCAAGGGATCATGGGTTCGAGCCATACTTGGTTCATGACCATGTTTATGATAGGACACTGGTAATGGTTGGTTCCAGGAAGTGGATTCAAAAGTAATTAATATGAGTTGAAATAACTTGTTTGGCAGTCGAGCTTCAATAAATATGTTTAAACTTAACTTACTAGGTTTTAAACCTGTTTGTTACATCATCTTTTGTGCTACTGAATCTGTACATTAATGTGTTTATTGTACTGACAGAATGAGGAAACTAATATTCACTTCATAAGTATCCAATATTTAAATATTAGATACTTTTCCATCCAATATTTATCAAAATGACAGTTATTTTTTGTACTTGAAGATGTGTAAATTTAATGTCTCAGTTATATCCTGCTCTGAGACATTAAATTAAAACATCTGTCACAAAAGTGTTAATTTCTCTTACGTTCATATACTAATTTGATTTACAAGAAACATTTAAAATGGAAATTTTGAAAATTTATATACATTTTGTATGTATTTGATATTGTTTAAATCATATTTCGATATATTTCTATAGTTTTTTAAACAAACATAACTTTCCTACAAATGTCAGTCATCTTTCACAAAAGCAGTATAATTCTCTTATAATTGCATGCATTTATCATTATTTAACCTTTTCCCATATGAGCATATTGTGAAAAGTGGCCGTTTTCATTGAAAAGCCTCCTGTAACAAGTTCAGGCTGCTATAAAACTATGATAAATGCTTCAATACTAATGAAACTTGGCACAAATGTTAACTGGACCATAGCCTCTGTAACAGTATGCTCAATCTTAAATGTCCTGTTACCATGGCAACGAGGGGGCATCTCAAAATTGCCAAAAATCACTATTCTCCTTTGTTTTTTTCCAACAAAACTGATTTCAAAGTGCTGGAACTTCTCAATGGATTGAGATAGAGTCAAAGTCTTTTCAACATTGGTTACACCTTATCTTATTATGATCGACCTGGGATCATTTTTAGCCTCTCACAAGTCCAAAATTTTCTTGGCAACGAGGGGGACTGCGCCCCCCCCCCCTCCAAACCCCCAAAACAGAAGGGGGCACATCCTCCTTCTGGCAGCCCCTGATACAAGGATAGTTAAGATATAAACAATATCAAACTTTTTTTTTAAATATTCCAGTGGATGAGATCATGTATTTCAACTTAATATATACAAGTACAAGTACATGTTATACAGAAATTAACACTTTGTTTCTGGCACAATGTTATTAACAAAGTCTAAGAACACACAAAAAACAACAAACAATGTGATCATGTGTAACAATAATATTTTGATGGTGAATTGTCTTTTCATTAGATTAATGCCCTTGATTAAATGTACAGTAGCCAGATGACATTGATTTGTGGTTTCATTGAATTCTTTTGATTGAAACTAAGCAAAACAACAATTCTTTATTTAAGTTAAAGAACACAGAAAAACTGTCTAGATGAATGAAAAATGGAAAATAAAATTGATATTGAAAAACATACATATTTTTACTTTATTATTCAATATGTATTAAAATTTCAAATGTATAACCAATATTTATGTTTTAATATTCCTTTACATATACACAAAATAAGACAGTAAAGCGTGGTAATCACGCCTTTTACACACATGCATGTCCTTTTTCCATCTTAAAAACCAAGTTACATATATTTACTGTGTCCAATAAGCTAACAATGGAAGCAAATAATTTTCAATTTTTGTATGGAATGCATAGATTGATACAACTGTTTTATTATTAAGACAATAGAGACCATGTTTAAAATAGAAATAAAAGAAACTGTCCATTATGTGGGAGAATGAACAAATTTCAGCGCACGGTGCCTCGATCTGTCCATTTTCACACATAATGGACAGTTTTCGGAGTTTCTCCTTTACAAAGTACTATTTCAGCATGTTTTTTTTTGTATCTTTTAAAATGTTTAACTTTTGTAAATAATTTTTGGGAACTAAATGGCCAAGTTAGTTAGAATCCACTTTGCCACTTCATCCCCGTAATTGTTGAATCATGGGCTTTTCAATGTTGTGGTTTCAGATCTTGCAAAGGACTTTAAATTCTTCCATGTTTAGAAGCAGTCCAGCAAACTAATGGAAGGCCCATGTTTGTTCCTGGTGTAATGTATAGAAGGGCAATCTAAAGGATTTCCTGAAAAGTCCTCATTTAACCATGACACTGTTAATGTAACTTAAAATGATGAATACGCTGTGGGTTCGAATCCTGACAGGGACTTTGGATTCTTTCATGTGAGGAAGCTGTTGAGCTAGCTTACAGAACATCTTTGGTTTTGCACAGGTGCTGGTTAGTGCCTGAAATAAGGCACGGAAGGGCACCTGAGGTCTGTTTCCAGACTCCACCAGTAAAGCTGGAACATCGCCATAAAATGATGACCTATACTGTGTTGGTGTGATGTGAAACCCAATCAAACAACAAACAACAAAAATATCCCAAAATAAATACAGTATGTATAAAGTATTGTTACATGACAGTAAAATGTAATGCAAATTGTATTTATATTTACAGATTGGAAAAAACATTCAAGTTTGGACGAAGCAGATATCACCTAAAGGAAAATCCTTTGCATTCACATTTCTAAACACTGATGAGGGTGGTAGCCCTACAAAGGTAAATTTATATTATCCAAAGGATCATTGAAGACGAGCAATTATATATTGCCTGATTAGGCACATGCCATTGTATTTCGTCACTTTGTTAAGTTAAGCCAATTTGTTCCAAATCTTACATTTATGACTTAAAATAGTACTGTTTATTGAAACTGTGTGATGTTTATTGAAACAGTGTAAAAACAAATTAGTCCTAAAGTTGGTTATAAGTTCTAGAATTTAAGATTAACTTAAGACTTTTGGTGGATCGCTACCCTGAACAGCTGATTGTAAAAACAATAATAATTCGAAATAATTTTAATAAGTGACAAGGGCGTGTTTTTACTTCCTCAAACCTCATTTTTAGCTCGACTATTCGATAAGAATAAGTAGAGCTATTGTAGTCACCCGAGCGTCGGCGTCCGCGTCGGCGTTGGCGTAACCACTTATGTTAAAGTTTTTGTAATAGTTTAAATATTTTCAAAGTCCATTGACATATGGCTTTGAAACTTTTCACACTTGTTCACCATCATTACCCCAACCTGTAAACAGGAGGAGGTAACTGTATCAAGCATTTTGACAGAATTATGCCCCTTTTTCGACTTAGAATTTACGTTAAAGTTTTTGTAATAGTTGAAATATTTTCAAAGTCCATTGACCTATGGCTTTGAAACTTTGCACACTTGTTCACCATCATTACCCCAACCCGTAAACAGGAGGAGGTAACTGTATCAATCATTTTGACAGAATTATGCCCCTTTTTCGACTTAGAATTTATGTTTAAGTTTTTGTAATACCTCAAATATTTTCAAAGTCCATTGACATATGGCTTTGAAACTTTGCACACTTGTTCACCATCATTACCCCAACCTGTAAACAGGAGGAGGTAACTGTATCAAGCATTTTTTTTTACAATCAAGCACTAAGAATAGTCGAGCGTTGCTGTCCTACCAACAGCTCTTGTTAACCATTATTGACAATATAGAAGCTACCATAAGTGTACGTTTAAAATTAAAACAGACTTCCAAACATAGTTGTTCCTTATCATCATACACATATCATAAAGTAAAGTTCTTAACTCTGAAACCAATGTCTCAGGAAATGGTCCTAATTTGAACTTAGAAAATTGATTTTTGATCTAAATCATTTTCATAACAAATTTAGTATTGTTTCACTTTTATCAATATGCATGTAATTTGATGAACAGTTCTTGGACATATACCTATGTACCTGGTATTTGTAAAGCAATAAATTTATAGATATACATACATGACAAAACCAACATAGTGCGGTTGCGACCAGCATGGATCCAGACCGCATCAGTCTGATCAGGATCCATGCTGTTTGCTATCAGTTTCTCTACTTGTAATAGGGTTTGTAAGTGAATAGCATGGATCTTGACCAGACCGTGCGGATGCGCAGGCTGGTCTGGATCCATGCTGGTAGAAAACGCACTGTGTTGGTTTTGTCATGGCGCGGCTCAAATGTATAATGAAATTCTTTCTGAAAAAAACAAAAATTAATGTTTGTTCCTACATTATTTATATTGTATTGTATATATTTTCTGTACTTCTGTAGTAGTGAAACTGTTTTGATTAAAAAAAGATTGAATGTCTAATGCTAAGTTTTTAGCTCAATTATCTAAAAATTACTGATATCTAATTGTACTTGCCCAGGAGTCTACTTCTTTGGTTTTACCTTTTGCATGGCAATTTGGTATCTCCAAAAACTTCTGAGAGAATGATTGGTTTAAACTGAATACACTTTATAAGAGGATGTCAACTGTCGCAAGGCCCATAACTCTGACATAATTTTGACAGAGCTGATGGCGCCTTTTTTGAAACTTAGAAAAAATCTACAGTTATCAAGGTCTGGTTTTACTATCAAGCACTGAGAAAAGTCGAGGATGCTGTCTAACTGAGACCTTTTGTTGATATGGATGTGAAAGCAAATTTTAGTTTTGTTTATGTTTACAGATAAGCTACCCTTTGAAGAAGCTAGGTGCCATAGCTCCTGCAGGATACAATGTTACTGAAGTTTTCTCAGGTGCTTTCGTTGGAATGTTCAAGCCTCAAGACAGCCTTAATGTCAGCGTAGATCCAACTGGGGTGTTCTTCGGCATGGCCAAATTCCTTGGTTAGATACCACTGTGATATAGACATACAACAGCAACTTATTTTATACATTCCAGAATTATTCTTGTAACACAAAGACAGTATTGTTTTTTTTCTCAAGTCTTTGTTCAGTATTCTTCTCGGTTAACCCTTATCTTAATCTGGGTTATTCAATGGATGTTTACATATCGGTTTGGACCACAATAAATCATTACCAGTATTTTGTTTACTTTCCCGTATCAGTTACCCAGTCTTGATGGAACAGTAAATTATAAGGTAGCCTTGACCATTCTTGCAGACTGACCAAGCTCTGTTGGCTAAAAAAAATTCATCAGGATTTCTTTTAAAACTGATCATGTACATATCCAAAACTGGAAGCTGGACAAGGGTAAAAGTTTATCATGTGCCATTTACCAAAGACTATTGTCATAATCTTATTCTCGTGTTTACAGAGGTTAAACTTGAGGAAATGAATTTTCTAAATCTCATTGTACCCAAAATCTCAAAATGACTTTAATACAATGTACTTAATGTATTTGATAAATTTATTATAACTTTTCTTCTTTTAAATGGTTTTGCAGGATTATACATGTATATATCTATTTTCAAATAAACAGTTAAACTTATCATTCTGTGTTCATACAGCATCTTTTTGTGTCGTCTGCTGCAAAGAAGCGGCAACATATGGGGATCACTTGTCCGTTATCTGTCTTTCGCACTACCAAATAGGGATAGGGGGCTTTCTAACTGTAAACAGAACAAAAGAGAACAATAAAGTTCATTCCATAACAATAGAAGAAAGGGCCAATGGCTGTCTATTAAACAAAAGAAAATAACAATAGAAAATGGCTCTTTATCTCTAATTGGTCGCATGTCTGTCCAAGCTTACATTTGAATACCAGCTTTGTGGCTGCAGGAACAATAGGTAACTGTACCCTCTCTTCTACGTCATTCATTCCATAAGGCTCTTTTATGAGACTTTTTTCCTTTATTTAACTAAAAGGAACAATAAAGAGAACAATAGAGTAGCCTCGTAAGTACTGTCTTCTTAGAAGGGTAGAAGGGGCCATTGGTATTCTACTTAACAAACGAAAATAACAATTATACAGAAATGGCCCTTTATCCCTATTTTGGTTGCATGTCCGTTCGTCACAATACTAGCATGGACTACTCCTCAAAAACTGTTTGTGCAATTTCATCCAAAATTAACAGGAATGATCATTGTTAAGTCTAGTTGTGCATATCGTCAGCATTTTCAGGTTCAATACCTTTTTCAGTTATGGCCTTTTAATGATTTTTATTTTTAAAGTTTGTCTGGACTACTCCTATTATACCACTAATGCAATTTCAATGAAACTTTACAGGATTGATTGGTAGCTCAAGGAGTCTGCGCATAATGCCTGGAATTGGTTGAATCATTTTTGAGGAGTTATGTTCTTTGAATAAAAAAGGTGTTTAGGTCTGTTAATGATTTTTGTGTTGCCTGAGATGTTCCTATAGCTCTTCTTAAATTTTTCAAATGAGTCTGCTCCATTGAACATCTGGGTCAAAAGGGCTAAAAATATAGCCACTAATGTAAAATTTAGACATTCAACTTTTAAGATCAAGGTCATTTATAAATAAAGGTCAAGTTTGGTCTGGTCTACTTGAAGATCTTGTTCCAATGATTGATGTGGCCAAGTATGAAGACATACACTAAGAACTTAAACAGTTACAATCAAGATTAAAGTTTGAGGATGGCAACGGGAACGTCGCCATGACAATAACAATACATGAACCTCTATTTTAAAAAAAAAAAGTGGAGATAAAACTCAGGACATTAACTAGTCTTGTATCTAAAATTTAATTAGAAATCATCAAAACTAATGCTGAGTTACATTAAAACCACACACTTCCAGATGATAAGAATAATTCTGAAAAATCATGTTATATTACTTTGTTAGCTTAATAAAGTATAATTATCACTTTGTATCATAGTTTGGGGACCTTTCTGTTGAAAATGTGTCAGAGTTAAATCCTATACATATACATGTACAGTGCGTTAAATGGAGTGCAGGTATTAGTTACCTGTACTCCAGAGCATACCCATTGATTGGTTTATTCTTGCTGGGGTTTACTTATTGTGACGGCAGAGAAAGGAAAACAACAGAAATGTCATATTTAGATGCTGGTTCATTGGTAACTTTTCTCCGGGGTTTCATATTGTGACAACAATGAACGTGTTTTTATGTTTGACTATGATACAAAAGAGAAAGAACATCAAAACGCTCAGTAAACTGATTCATACTCGGGGGCTACGCCCCCTCATACAAATCAGTTTGACTTGTGTTTCGATGCTCTATTATTTATTTGTACAAATCATGAACATATAGTGAATGTTGGTGTGGGAATCGATGTAATGGGAGGTAATTAAGCGAAGAAATTAATTAAATATTTTAGTAATATTTTGTCCTTTTTAGCTCGACTTTTTTTTTTTTGAAAAAAAAAAGTAGAGGTACTGCTATAGTCACGGCGGCATTGCCGTTCCCGTTCACGTCCGCAAACTTGTACCTGGATCATAACTTTTTTATTTCTTGGTGTATTGTTTTCATACTTGGCCACAACAACCCTTGGGACAAGACCTTTCAGTAGACCACACTAACTTTGACCTTCATCCATAAATGACCTTGACCTTCATGGTTAAAAGTAAAAATTTTGCTTGTTAATGCTGTTATTGGCTGTAACTTTGTTATTTTTGAATGGATTGTAATAATGTTCAAGGATAACCCTTAAAAATAACCAGACAGACCTTGACCTTCACCCATTAATGACCTTGACTTTGAAGTTCAAATTATTGAAATTTCATTGTTTTGGCTGTAACTGGCTGTAACTTTGCTATTATTGAAGGGATCAACTTCATATTATAACAGAACATACTTAAGGACAAGACCTTGTAGTTAATCAAACACTTGGGCTCTTTGATGACCTTGACCTTGAAGTTTTAATTACTGAATTTTCTCAGATTTGATGACCATATATATTTATTGGTGTATGTGTGTGTCTGTGTATATATATATATCATCATCAACAACAACATGTGTCGCCACGTGACACCACACGTGACACCATGTGACTCCACCATGTGACTCCACCACATGACTCCACTATGTGACTTCACCATGTGACACCACCACGTGACTCCACCATGTGACTCCACCACGTGACTCTACCACATGACTCTACCATGTGACTCCACCACATGATACCACCACATGACACCACCACGTGACTCCACCACGTGACTCCACCATGTGACTCTACCACGTGACTTCACCACGTGACTCCACCACGTGACTCTATCACGTGACTTCACCACGTGACTTCACCATGTGACACCACCACGAGACACCATGTTTCAACCATGTGACACCACCACGTGACACCACGTGACTCCAACACGTGTATCTATTTATAGAATTTTCTATTTATATAATTGCGTGTTTCTATTTATAGAATTGGGTGTTTCTATTTATAGAATTTTCTATTTATAGAATTGCGTGTTTCTATTTAAAATATATAGACAAAACTAATGTGACAAGACAGACCGATTAATTTTATAAAAAGGAAACGTTAAGATTTTGTTCAAACATTTCTTTGTTTGCTTTTAGAGAAAGTAAAAAGTCGAGCATTGGCCCCGCCCGGCGGTGGCTCTTGTTAATTTCTGGAAGATTCTATGTTTTTTTTATAATTTTTATTATTTAAGGATCCTGTATGATGTAATTAAGGATATAACAAAACTTAATTGAAATATTATACATTGTCTATGTATATAATTATTCATATGTTAAATATGTACTGCTATTGTTTATTTGCATTATAAATAATTTTTAAATCTATGCATTCATTTTTGTGCCCCCACTTTTGTGGCGGGCATTTAGATTTACCCTTGTCCGTCCGTCTATACTTCCATCCGTCTGTCCGTCCGTTATCTTTAGTGTCGCACGTAACTCAAGAAGTATTTGACCAAGAGTCATGAAACTTTACAGGAATGTTGATCAGCATGTGTAGTTGTGCACCTGGATATTTTCCTTTGGATATTTTTAGAGTTAATGCCCTTGACTTAGTAAAATTTTGCAATTTTTAACTTGTGTCGCATGTTACTCAAAAAGTATTTGACCTAGAGCCATGAAACTTTACAGGAATGTTGATCAGTATGTGTAGTTGTGCACCTGGGTATTTTCCTCTGGGTATTTTTAGAATTTTTAGAGTAATTGCCCTTGACTTAGTAAAATTTTGCAATTTTTAACTTGTGTCGCATGTAACTCAAAAAGTATTTGACCTACAGTCATGAGACTTTACAGGAATGTTGATCAGCATGTGTAGTTGTGCACCTGGGTATTTTCCTCTGGGTATTTTTAGTATTTTTAGAGTTATTGCCCTTGACTTAGTTAAATTTTGCAACTTTCAACTTGTGTCGCATGTAACTCAAAAAGTATTTGACCTAGAGTCATGAAACTTTACAGGAATGTTGATCAGCATGTGTAGTTGTGCACCTGGGTATTTTCCTCTGGATTTATTTAGTATTTTTAGAGTTATTGCCCTTGACTTAGTAAAATTATGCCGCATGTAACTCAAAAAGTATATGACATAGAGTCATGAAGCTGTGGTAGCTTGGATGTGTCTGGTGGGGAGTGGGGCTGAGTCTTGTGAAGATTGCCTTTGCCTTGTTGATCTTTATTCTTGTGTTGTTTTTTTTTATAAATCTGTCTGTCAGGGGGTCACTATAACTATTACATGTATATTGATAATTGAAATAAAACATGTTCTGGACAAGTATAAGGAATGGGTCTCTTCTCTTTGTTTAAAGATTAATTTTATTATTTAACAATTTTGATTACTTAAAATAAATTTGCATTTGGGCTTACCTTATATTGCCCCGTCTATACAATGCTCTTGGTTTGTTGATTTCCACTGTGCCTTCATTTTACAACCGTGACAAAGAGCAACAAGTGTATATTTTGTGTAAAAAAAGTATAATTATGGCTAAGATCTGTCAGCAATTATTGTCAATAAATTTGAGTCCTGTTCATTATCAGTTCCTGTATATAATGTTTTTATGTGGATATTTCTGTTTATTTACTGATGCATATCCGTTGCCTAATTTACTGTAGATATTGGTTGACCATATCTTGGATGCCATGAAGAACTAAGTTTTTAGCTCACCTGAGCATGCTCAGGGTG